CTTGAAAGAAAAAGATGCTCTTGAAAAGAGGAGAAGTAGGAAGTAAAAAGAAATATTAAGGAAAAAAGTCAAGTGAATATGCTCACTTAATGGTGCCCCTTCATCAAAATTCTATGTTACAGTTTTCTAAACTTCCTGACAATATGCTCAATGGCTTGGCTGTAAATTCAGACAAAATCAGTTAATTTTAAAAAAGGGAAATCAGCTTAGAGGGGAATTTGTCAAATCTTATAATTTAGAAAGCACAAAAATGGATTTGCTTACATAGAAGTCCAGGCCCTTACTTTTGGAGATTCTCTTATTGGTCAGAGGTTGGATCTGAACACTGTGTGTGAGAGGTTGTTTTAATTTTTGGTTTTTAAAGCTTTATTTTTTTATGTTCTCTGTATGGTTCTAAGGTTCAACCAGGGATGAACTTCAGTGAGTGAAAGGTGAACTAGCTAATTGATGGTAAAGACGCATGAAAAAGCCCTCTTCTATCCACTTAAGTATATTTCCTATTCTGCTGTTCCACTCAATATTAATATTTAACAGAATATAAAAATGAAGACTTTTGGAAATTTAAAAGACCATAGGACCTAAAAGAAGCAGAAATGGGTATTTTAATTCTCCTGACAAGGATTTATAAACAGAATAAACAGATTGAAAATTATGATCGAGAAAGTCCTGTCCATGGCTGCAGGGCCTCTGTCTGTCTTGTTGAACACTCTATCTCCAGCATCAAGCCCATTGTTTTTTACATGGTAGATGAATTAACAGAACAAATCCCACCTACCTTAAGGGGACTTGTCTGTGTAGAAAGGAGATGGCTTTTGCTTTCAGGGTGAAATAAACTCTCTGGTTCCTGTCCAGTGGAATTGCAACTTAATACCAACTAGCTCCTGGTAACTGCAGTGTGGGCCCTGGTTAACAACTGACATAGTCCCCATATCCACACCCACAGTCCTGCCTGGCCACCTACTCTGTGATGACAGGCAGATTGTCTGTTACATTGCAGGAGGATGAACTGTACAGAGATGGCAGTTAGACCCAGCTTCAGGCTAGAGCTTGTAAAATGACCCTTTGTCAGTTATCTCAGTAATTAACTTTAAAGCTTTTATTTGTTCCAATTTGTTCATAAATAAGTCAAAGAATCTCTTATTTCATCTATTAAGAGAGAGTCATTAATCATGCATTTTATGTTTTATGCTTGAATTGTTAAAAAATATTTTGAAGACTCAAGAAAACTGAACTTTCTGATAATGTTTAAAGTCAGTGACCAAATAACTCATTAAAGTTTGATGGGACAGAGAAACATAAATTTATCTTAAATAAATAAATAAAATTCACTTCTTCTTGTGTTCATTTAACAAATATTTATGAGGAACTGCTCTTTGCTCTGCATTGTCCTCCCAGACACTAGAAAGACAAAGAAAAAAAAAAAAAAAAAAAACACCAGTGCAGTTCCTATTCATTTGGGACTTACATTCTAGAGGAAAAACAACAGGCAGTAAGCAAAATGAACAAATTAGCACATTAGAAGTTTCCATATGTAAATTCGACTATGAAAACAATCAAGCCAAGAAAATGGAACACAGAGTTTTGGGAATAAGTACTAGTTGAGGTGGTCAGCTTTGCAGAGACTTGAATATATTTAAGATTTTCTATTGACAGTGCCATTATTATTAATTTTTGAGTCCCAAACAGAATAAATGATAAAGCATAGGTTTGTTTGAGATTTTTTGGAATTTTCACCTTAATGTCACTGGACTTTATTAGTGTTATCAATAGGGGCCTGGACAGGAATTTCACCTCTGGGTTCAGGAACACATCATATTATATCAATCTAATGGTTATCCCAAAAAGGCAGACTGGGCCCAAGGATTGCACATAAATAATGACTCCATTCAAAGGCACACCCCTTTGATTTTATTTAAAGAGTAGCCTCTTATTAATACCTGAATGGCCAATTTTTCAAAAATGAGCTCCAATTAGTGGAACTCTTACTCCAAAGTCAATGGCACTGGTGAGAAGTCAAGAGAATCTCAAGTGTATAGTCCAATGATGGTTCAATGCCTTTTTTCCCAGAATTCTGCCACCCATCCTTTCCTTCTCTATTCTTATCTGAAATTCCACAATAAACACACACAAGACTGGTGGTTCATCTACAATTCAGACACATACTCTTACACAAATACATTGCCATTCATATTCATGATGTTTAACTTGGCTGCCTATTTAATTACTGAAAATGGCCATATCAAAATTTGCACGTGTGCATGGAAATAAAAGCTGACCACTTACATTTTAAAATTTTATTCAATATCATTTTTTATTTCTAGGTTTTTATATACCATGTTGCAAGTCTACTTTAAGGTTAAATACAATTTTGACCCAATATTGCTCTTTTGGAAAATGAATGATATTAGATTTGAAGCCTAAAAGATATAAATTATGTATCTTATGAATCTTAAGAGAGATTTTTAACTTTTTGTCAAAAGTCAAGTTCTGATTAAAAATTGAGGAAAGGTAGAACTTGGATGGAAAATTATTTAAGACCTCAGAATGCCTACATAACTCATAACCTTGAGGTAGATGCTATGATTATCCTACTAACTTCATTAAGTTCCATGGAAGCAAGGACTTGGCCTATTCACTCTGTACTCCACACCTAGTATAGTGCCTAGCACACAAACGTTGATCAAGCAAAGTGATTAAAGGACCCAAAGAAATTTTCAGACACAATTAAAAGTTTAAAAAACCCAGAAAAGTATCCCAGGCTGTGCATTGGCAAAGCTTGGCTGAACCACGACCTCAGTACCAACATGCAGAGTAGACTCAACTCTAAGACACCCTTAACACCAAAATGCAACAAGTAACCTCAGCTTAGCAACCATCAAGTGTGCAGGAGACAGTGGCTGGATCAACCGACACCAGTGACCAGACAACTGTCAGGTCTATGGTGAGCTGGGATTCTTTTTCATAGTTTTAACTAATTTGTGCTTGATCATAAATTTTAATTCAATTCCAAAATCCCTAAAACAATTCTTCACAGAACTAGAAAAAGCAACCATGAACTTCATGTGGAAAAATAAGAGATGCAGAATAGCCAAAGCAATACTAAGCAAGAAGAGAGAAGACATATCATAATACTATAGCTTAAACTGTACTACAGAGACATCGTAACAAAAACAGCATTGTATTGTCATCAAAATAACACAGAGACCAATGAATGGTACAGAATAGAAGACAGAGAAAACTCACAAAAACACAGTTATCTCAAACTAGACCAAGGCGCCAAAAACATACATTTAAGAAAAAAAAAAAAAAAAGCCTGTTCAACAAATGGTAAATGGTGCAGGAAAAATTGGAAAGCCACATAAAATAAAAAGTAAAGCCCTCTCTCTCACTCTGCACAAAACTCAATTGAATATAGATCAAAACTTAGGCACTAGAACAGAGATCCTGAGCCAAATAGAAGAAAAAGTAGGCCTAAATCTTCACTATGTCATCCTAAGATCTGACTTCCTTAAGGTGACTCCTACATTCCAAGAATTTCAAGAATCAATAAACAGGATAGATTCAAATTAAAAAGCTTCTTCTCAGCAAAGGAAACAATCAATAATGTGAAAAGAGAGCCTACAGAATAGGAGAAAATCTTCACCACATGCACCTCAGAGCATTATTCTCCAGGATATATGCAGATCTCAAAAAACATGACACCAAAAAAAACAAATAACCAAATCAATAAATGGGCTAAGGAACTAACAGACACTTCACAGAAGAAGCAACAAATACATGAAAAATGTTCAATATTTAGCTATTAGTAGAAAGCAAATCAAAACTTCTCCAAGATTTTATCCCACCCCAGTCGACAAACATGGTTATCAAGAATACAATCATCAAGTAACAATAAATGTTAGGGAGGATGTGGGGAAAAGGGTGCACGCACACATTGCTTGTGTGACTGCAAATTGAGGCAACCATTATGGAAAGCAGTATGGAAATTCCTCAGAAAACGTGGACTGGAACCAACATCTGACACAGCTCTCCCTTTCCTCATTTTATAACCAAACGACTTAAAACCAACATATTACAATGACACAGTCACATTATGTTTACAGCAGCTCAATTCATAATAGATAAACTATGGAACTAACCTAGGTGTCTTTCAACAGATAAATGAATAAAGAAAATGTGGTGTGTATGAGTATAGATATACATATGTGTGTATGTGTGTGTGTGTGTGTATATATACATATATATAATATATATAATATATATATATTATATGTAATATATACATATATATATATACACACACACACACACACACACACACAATGCAAACACACATACACACACATAAACAATTTTACACACATATATAGGATGGAATAAACTCAGCCTTAAAGAAGAATTAAATTATGACATTTGCTGGTAAATGGATGGAGCTTATCATGCTAAGTGATAAGCCAATCCCAGAAAATTTTCCCTGATATGCTTATGATAATCACAGTAAGGGGGGGGGGGGTAGGGAAGAATAGAGTTGTTTTAGACTGCACAGAGAAGTGAAGAGAGGGAAAGGGGTACACTGGGTAGAGTGGATAGTAGAATGAATCAGACATTTATTCCAAAGTACATATGCAAATACGTGACTAGTGTGATGCTACATCCTGTACAACCAGAAGCATGAGAAATCATACTACATTTATGTACGCTATGTCAAAGTGCATCCTATTGTCCTGTAGAATTAGAACATTTTTTTTAAAAAGAAGATTAAAGAAAACATACCAATTTGCAGAAAAAAATATGACTACAATATCTGCCACCTGGAGACACTCATGGTAACTGAAGCTAAACCAGTCTTCAAAAAACAAAGGACAAATGTTTTCTCTGATATGTGGGAGCTAACCCACAATAGGAGGGGTGATGGGAACAGAAGTGCAGTAGATTAGACAATGGGGAATGGAGGGAAAGGAGGGGCATAAGCAAAGGAAAGACAGTGGAAAGACTCTAATGCAGCTTTCCCATGTGTATACGTGGAAACAACACTGTGAATCCCACCACCATGTACATCCTAAGAATATAATTCTAAATATATAAGGTATCTTACTTATACAAATATTGATTATATAATATTGAATTTTATGGGCCAGGATTGTGGCTCAGTGGTAGGGCACTTGCCTAGGCATGTGTGAGGCACTGGGTTTAATTCTCAGTACTGAATTAAAAAATAAAATAAAATAAATGGACCATTAACAACTTAAATAATTTTTTAAAAATGGATTCTATAATAAAAACAACCAATAAATGAAAATTAACAAAATGAAACATTTCCTAGGTTCCCTTAAACATTTTGATAGCACTGAAATCAACTTCAAATGAATGGAAAGAAAAAAGGCTTTTAAGAGTAAGTTAGTCTCCACCATTATTCTGTGAAATGATGACATAACTATTGGGACAGACTTTTCCCGCTTATGACCTCCAGAACTGTGGGAAATATTTTTCTATTATTTATGAGTCTCATAATTTTCACTAGTAGAAATTAAAATTAACAAATTTCAATATTTAGACGCTAATTACCTAACGAATAACAATACCTCGAAACCAGAGTTTGAAGATGAGACTCCATGGCTCTAGCTGGCAGGTAGGGGGTCTGCGTGCGGGGTGGGGAGGCCTCCGCAGCAGAGAGGAGTCCTACCTACCTCCTTATGGCGGGCCATTCCATCCAGCGCTGCAGCAGACCCCAGCAGATCCTCAACCATGTCTTCTTTCTTTCAGCAGTCTCTTGGAAGTCGAAGAATCACCTCTGGGAACCAAACCAGGGTGAAACTTCCATGGAACTCCGGCGAAAGTCCGGCGAAGGTCCGGCGAAGGTCCGGCGAAAGTCCAGCGAAAAGTCCTGCAAAAAGTCCGGCGAAAGTCCGGCGAAAGTCCGGCGAAAGTCCGGCGAAAGTCCGGCGAAATCCAGGACACCAACCTCGATGGCCTCCGCTGCTTCTCTACGTCTGAACAACCTGCAAGGGGTTTATATAGCGCTTGGTCCAATGCTATTGGTCCAAACTTATGCTAATTAGGACTTGAAAAAAGGACCAATGCTATTGGCCCAAAGTTATGCTAATTGGGTTGGACACATACTAACGCCATTGGTCAGTCTCTTTTTAATATTCATAGTAGATTCATTCATAGAAGCAGCCCCAAATTCCCACGCTGACAATGAATGAATGGGCTGGGAAGCAGCTCAATGGCAAAACCGCAAAGTGCTTGCCTCGCATTCCCAAAGCCTTGGCTTCCATCCCTGTTCCAAAAAGAAAAAGTAAAAACAAATTACAGATATATGAATGCCAGCAAAAAGGAAATAAACAAATTTTATCAATACATAAATCTTATTCAAAAACATACCTGGCTCTGCGTTCTGCAGATCTCTGTCAAGTGTCGCCTTACCCTTTACCTCTTCAAAACAATTTTTCCCAAAAGTTGAGAGTCATGGACCATGTCTTAGTCATCTCTCTTCTGCACCTATGCCAGAGGTGATACGGATGTGTGGGATGTAATCGGGCTGAGGATCAAGGTCTCATTTGAAGCCAGCTTTTGAAGCATTGCTGGTGATATCACAAAATTGCTACTTGTTAAAATCCAGATGCATGCCTGAACAAATGATATAGAACCAAAAAATAGCATGATTAAAGGTCAAGAAGAAGCAAATAGGGCTGGAGTTGTGACTCAGTGATAGAGCTCTTGTCTCGCAAATGTAAGGCACTGGCTTTGATCCTCAGTACTACCTATGAACAAATGAATAAAATAAAGGTCCAGAGACACCCGCCCCAGCTCAGGCCCTTCCCAGATGCACTGGAGCTGGGGCCCAGAGTAGCCCGGTTTCTTCCCACTACCAGCAGGATGCTCAGTCCCAGACCAGGACCACTTCACTCACCTGCAGACGCCTGCCAGAGCTCATATACGGTCCAGATCTGCCCCCACCAACCTGCGCAGGAGGCCACACACAGGGTAAGACTGCATCCTTCCCTCAACTGGGAGACCTGCACCGAGCTCAGGTCCGGCCCAGAACCACTGGCTGACCCTCCCGAGAGCTGAGACTCTGGCCAGGACTGCCTCTGCCCACCGGCAGACCACTTCAGGAGCTCAGATCCAGTCCAGAGCCACTGCAAGGACCTGTGCAGGAGATGGGGCCCAGGGTAGGCCGAGTCCATCCACTCATCATGAGACTGGTGCCAGAGCTCAGGTTCTTCCCAGGCCTGCCTCCTCCATCCAGCAGCTCCCTCCAGACCTCAGGTTTGGACCAGGACAGACTGCCACCAACAGACACTCAATGGTGGCCAATCCTGGCCCATTTCAGCCTCGACGACCTGAGTGGTAGCTGAAGCCCAGAGTAGGTCCCAGGCCTTCCCACCACCAGCAGACCCCTGCTGTAACTCAGGTCCCACCAGATAAGCCTTGCAGATGTGCACAGAAACCCGGGAAGAGGGTAGCCCTGGGAACATATGGCCACCACCAGACCACCACCTGAGCTCAGGCTTGGCCCAGCACTGACTCCGCCCACAGGCACAACCCTGCCAGAGTTTATACAAGGCACAGATTGGCCTCACTACCCAGGCAAGGGGAGGCCCTGTTCCATCCCACCACCTGAAGAACCCCACCAGAGCTCTAGCTCTGCCCACATCCAACTCAACGACCTGGCAGGATGAAGCCAGAGTCCAGGGTAGCCCATGTCCTTCCAAGTTATCAAGAAACTGGCAACCAAATTCAGGCTCTGCCCACGACTGACTCCACCCATTGTCAGTTGCAGAACTTCAGCCCCAGCCCATACCAGCCTCACTGACAGGCACAGGAGCCTGGCCCAAGGTAGGCCTAATACCAACTGCCACAAGCAGGCCCCAAGCAGAGCTCAGGCCAAACACAGGACCGCCTTGGATCAACAGGCAGAGCTCAAACTCAGCCAAGATTGTCCTTGCTGAACTGCTTGGGAGGCCAGGCAAGGTGGGCCCCCAGTGTCATCCTGCCACATGCAGAACCTCGCCAGAGCTCGAGCTCTGCCCAGATCCAACTCTATGACCTGGCAAGAGATGAAGTCCGAGCCCAGGGTAGCCCAAGTGCATCCAGTCACCATGAGACTGGCACCAGAGCTCAGGCTCGGCCCATGACTGTCTCTGACCACTGACAGACAGTCACTGAAGTTCAGCCTCAGTCAGATCAGCCTTCCTGACAGGCGCAGGAGCCTGGCCCACAGTAGTTGGATGGACCTGTGGCTATCCTGTGCTTGGGTGTAGTCTCGGTCAGCCAGTGGCTGGAAGGACCAAGGCTATCCTAGGTAAGGACTCCCACGAAGGTGAAATAGGCTGATCAGGGCAGAGCCTGAGCTCTGGTGGCATTCAGCCAGTGGTGGGATGGCAACAGGCTTAACCTGAGAACAGGCTCATGTGCAGTTCAGCTGGGCAGATGAGGCCTGGGCTTGACTTCCGCAGGGGTCTACAGGTGGCGGGATGGAACTTGGCTTACCCTTGCCGAGGCTCCCGCACAGCTGGCCTTGGCTGATCAGGCATAAGCCTGGACTCCCAAAGGTGTTCCCTGTGGGCAGAGGTGGTCCTGGGTCTGTCCTGAGCTCTGGTGGGGGTCGGCCACTAAGCCAGGCTCCCACACCTGTCACCAAGGCTGACTTGGGCTGGGCAGGTGTCTTCCAGTAGGTGGAGTCAGTGCGGGGCGGAGTCTGACCTCTGGTGGGTATCTGACAGTAGGCGGAGTCATTCCTGCGATGAGGCTGCGCTCCAGCAGGGGTCAGCCTGCAGCGGGATGGCCCTGTGACTACTCTCTGCTCTGGCTTGCCTGCAGTTCAGCTGGGTAGATGAGGCCTGGGCCTGACCTTCGCAGGGATCAGCGGTATGGAACTTGGCTTACCCTTGCTCAGGATCGCGCGCAGCTGGCCTTGGCTGATCAGGCAGGAGCCTGAGCTCTGGAAGGTGTTCGCCTGTGGGTAGAGTCGGTCTTGGATGTGGCTTGAACTCTGCTGGGGGTTGACTGGTGGCGGGATGGAGCCAGGCCTACCTTGGACCAGGCTCCCATGCCTGTCAGCGAGGCTGGCCTGGGCTGGGGTTGAATTCTGGCAGGTGTCTTTCAGTAGGCGGAGTCAGTGTGGGGCAGAGCCTGAGCTCTGGCGGGCATCTGACAGTGGGATGAGTCCTTCCTGGGCTGAGTCTGAGCTCTGGCAGGGGTCAGCCCGAGGTAGGATGGACCTGTGACTACCATTTGCCCAGGCTATCACCTCATGTCATCCTGGGAGATCTGGGCTGATCCTGAGCTCCCAAGGATCTTTGCTGAGGAGTGGAGGCAGTCCTTGGCCAAGCCAAAGGATCTATGGGGCGTCAGGTGGTGGCAGATAGAAACTGGGCCATCCCTGGGGACCGGCTCCTGGACAGAGCTTGAGCCCAAGGTAGGCCTGGCTCCATCCCGCCTCCAGCATGGTGTGGGAACCTCCTCCTGGCACTCCCCAGGCCTCACTAATTTACTACTGAACCAGCAGGCCAAGGGGATTTTAAAAACAACAACAAAAATCAATTTATATATGATCTTTCAAAAGCGCATCAATGCATTCTACTGTCATATATAACTAATGAAAGCAAATGAAAAAATTTAAAAAGTAGATCAGCAATTAGGACTTTGGTCAACAAGTGGCCAGAATCAACTAATCTTCAATACCATGGAAAAAAGAAGACAGAAGATGTCACCCTAGAACATGAAATTTTCCAGTGATTTTTATCTTGCTCAATATAAAACCCAAAGTGGAAACAACTCATTCCACAGCTTGCTTTGGGAGCCTCCAGGGCCATGGCAGCCCCCTTGCTGCGTTTGGTCTCTAGTGCCTGCCATTGCCTCTCCAAGGGTGTCATCTGAATTCCATGAGGGTAGGGACAATGATCTGTGTCCCCAGAGCCCAGAATTGGGGCAGTCCCACAGTTCTCATCAAGGTGTTTGAGGTTCTCTGCACTGTGGGGTAATTAGTGAATTACTTGGCCACTCATCTTTTCTCCTCTCATGGATATCCCTGAGGACTCCTCAGCACAAGAAGAATGACAAGCACTATCAAACTCGAGATTCCGGCTCGGGGTCGTGACAGAGAATCAGCACATCATGACCACACTCAGGAAACCAGATCATTACCATAATGGGATCTTGTAATGGTATGCAGAAGCCCACAGGTATGCTGAGACTCAGTCCACCAGGAGAAAACCCTTATGAACCGGAGGACAGTCAAGGGACCCTAGGAGGTTAAGGAAAATCATCACATTTAGGAAAAGCTCGCTCCACCAGATTGCTGTTGATTCTGGAAAGAGGACAAAGATGACAGGAATACGTGGATGCACAAACTAATGTATCTTATGTATGAAGAAGAAAGTACTTGAGCCTGGTGTCTTGTCACATGGAGGCTGAGGCAGAAATTCCAAGTTCAAAGCTAGCATCAGCAACTTAGCAAGGTCATAAGCAATTCGGTGAGGCCCTACTCTAAACCAAATACAAAAAAGGTCTGGGGATGGGGCTCAGTGGTTAAGCTCCCCAGGGTTCCATCCCCAATACAATAAAAACAAATAATGTGGTAGAACCCAGAGAGGAAGATCCCATTGAAATCCATTTCAATAGCTATATGCAGCACTCAGGTGTTGTTCTCCTAAATGTTAGGTGCAGGACAGGCTGAATAAGTTGTCTGCAGGGTATGCCAAACAAAGTTAGCTGTAGGCTGACCTGACCACTCAAACCCTCTGTCTGGTTCTTTATCACCTGTTTGCTTCAAGCCCCCACTCAAGGCTGAATGCTTGCAAACCCAGAGACCCTGTTAGATTTAGGCAGCACAGCAGAAGGTCTATAAAAGCTTTCCCCTGCCTTGCCCCCCCCCCCACTTATCTTTCTCTCTTTTCTCCTCTGTTGCACTGCTGAAATAAATATCTCTTGGTCCCTCCAAGTGTTGTGGTCACTTTCCTTTCATTGGTGCCAAAAACCAGGAAGAGGGTTAAAACCCACTTTTGGGTCCCTCTTCCTTCAGAAATGCCACTCACTGGATGGCCTGAACCCATTTTCTCGACCAGCAGAACTCCATCCAACACAGGCCTTTGATTGGTGAGTTTCCCCTTCCTGGAGTCTTAAACCCAATTGTGGTATCAGGAGGATCTGACCATTGATTGTCCGGCAAAACTCTTCACCCACCTGTGGGGAGGAAAACACCCCACCACAACCTTTAAGGCCATGATGGCCCTCAGGGACTCCTTCCTCAGGCAGATTTGACTCGTGTTCAAAATTATTTCCCATCCCCTTCCCAGCTGGTAGTTTACCAGCATAGGCTTTGTAGGTCTCCCTCAAAGGACTGCGTAACCTCCCAGAACACATAACAGACAACTGTACATCACACCCCACCCAGACCTTCACGGTTTTGGTGGCTCTCATAAAGTCCTAGTCCTCGCACCTTTAAGACACAGCCATTAGATGGAGGCTTACCCTCCCCTTTCTGTCTCTTCTCCTGCCTCTCTCTCTCTCCCGTCTTTTGGGCCCTGGGAGTCTCCACCTCTCCAGGAGAGGTCCTGAAAAGCCTTGGCCAAGGTGTCCCATGGCACAGCTCCAGCCAGGATGAAAGCCTCCTTGACTGTAAGGATTCATTGATGACCAATCTCTGCAGCTCGAACCTGCCACTAGGCACTCCTGATTTTTGGCTCTAGCGGGGATGCCCCTTTTGCCAATAAATCAGTTTCCTCCTTCTCTCTTATACTATCTTTGCATCTCCTTCCCTCTCCCCTTATGTTTGTGTCTCCTTCCTTCTACCCTATACTGTATTTGCATCCTCTTCCCACCTCCTTATACTGCGTTTGCCACATGGGTAATGGATCCTCTCTGCCTGTTGACTCTTCCCTACAATGCCTCCTGGATAACCTCAAACCCTCTCCTTGACACCAGACATCAAACCCCAAAAATTGATCAAATATATCATTCAGGCCTGGCCCACTTATCCCTTAGACAACCAAAGAAGTTGGCCCTCTTTTGGGTCCCTGGATCCCTCCATTCTAAGGGATCTCTACAATTACCGTGAGCATTTCAAAAAAAATGGGTAGAGATCACTATTTCCAAGCTTTCTTCTTGCTCTGATTCAATCCTGCTCTCTGCACCTCTTGCAAACCTCTACAGATTTTTTCGCTTGCAAACTAACCCCTACAACCACCAATCCCCAATCTTCTCCTCCTCCAGACTCATCCACTACTTTTGACCTTGCTGATGGATCTGTACCCTATCACCTGGCTCGAACAGGTCCTCACCCTCAACCTTCTGCCCCAGCCCCTCCACCATCTCCCCTGCCTCAAAAACTTGCTTTCTCCCCTCCCATTACTAGATCCAAAACCCAAACTACCACCCTTCCTCAAACCATAGCCCCCTTGCTGAGGTAGAAGGTACTGAAGTTATCCCTCCACCTACTCACTCCTCTCTTCTCCTGTCAGTGCCCACACTGGGTCCCACCAGGTCCTCTTGCCAGCTAACCCAAAGCTCAAACTAGCTGAGGAGAACCCTCGGACCCCTATCCAAAATCTAATGAAAATGGCCTTTAAAGTTGCTTTGTCATCACTAAAAACAAGGTTACTAAGAATTAAAGTCCCTTACAGGCTTTTTGATATATTCACTCCCAACTTCCCCTCTGCTCTACCTGTTCTACTGCTCAAGTTTTCCTTGCTAGGGAAAATCCCAAACCCCTTTTCAATTATTCTTTTACATCTCCTTCCTCATTCTCAGATCCATGGGAGCTGCTCTCAGCCCCGCCTTCCCATCTTCCCCCTTCCTACCCAGTCCCACAGAAAAGTCATAACTGACCTTCTACAGAATCTGTACCATGGCTGATTTTAGGATTGTCAGCAAAGAATCCCTACAGAAAAGTTCAATGGAGATAAATTTCCTCTTTTCACGTTGCTCTGTTTTACTTGGCCACTGGCTGGAAAAAAATCAGCACTCCAGGTTCTGGACACCCCCTTACTAGTGTTTTCACAAAAAAGGTAAACAAGGCCTCTGGCCTGGAGTTGGGGCTTCACAGTGATGGCTACATTTCTAAGATAAGGGATTTACCAACTGGGCTCCATGGTAACAGCTGGCAAGGGGAGGGAAGAAGAAGCTCTCCCCTTCTCAGGTGTCCTTGAAGGGTTAACTTGCCCAAAACAGAGAGAGAAAAAAAATGCTTTTTTTGTGAACTTTTGAAGACTGTGAACTTCTGAGCCCCTCCCCTTACATGCTGTGTGCAAAATTCTGAAACTACCTAAATTTGGGGTTCAAGGGATAAATTTATTACAGCAGAAGCTGTGCCCTCTGAATCTGGCTGCAACCAAATAAAATTGTTTTCCTATCTCCCATGCTATCTTATGTGCCTTGCCTTGCTCATCCGTTCAACAACATAATTCTATACACTTAAACATTGTTTATGTTTTTATGAAGTGGTAAATAGATGTGATTAATTGTGTACCTCAAATAACAAAATATCTCTTATTAAAATGGAATAACTTGCCTAAATTCAGAAATTTACAAGGATTGTTTCAAAGAGTGAATAAATAAGGAGTTAACAGATGATAAAGAGTAATTAGAAGGTTCTAAATATGGATTTAATTGAAGAAAAATGTGTTTCTGGATAAGAGAGTCTATGTGATTAAATAAATAAGAGGGTTTAAGCAAGTGATAAAGAAGGTCTGTGTACGTTAGCTATATATATTTAAGTAAGTGATAAAGAAGGTCTGTGTAAGTTGCTTATATATGTAAGTTTTTTGAGCAAGTAATCTTGATGAAATTAAGGATTATACAACTATGGATAACAACAACTGTTATTTTGCAATATTGTAATATGTTATTTCTTTAAGATCTAAACTTGATTAATATAAAAACATCAATGTAATTGTGGTACTATTACTCTTTTTTGTATATTAAATGTGTTCATGTATTCCAAGTATATAAGTCTTTAAGATAGAAGCTTTAAAAAAATTATATCAAGCTGATGTTCTCCAAAAGGTTGCATGGTAATCTTAGGCTTATAAAAATAACATACTGGAGATTTATTTATATCATTTAATTTTCTATAACTGGAACTGTTAGCAATAAGATTAATATAACGTTCTATAAACTGGGGTACAATTTAAATGTAATATCATATTGTGTTACCTAGTATTCATGTGATATCAAGCAACAATATATGGAAACTTTATAAAATGATATTTAAAAACAAAGATCAGCTTCAATACTAGAACACTTTACCTAAGATTTATAAAGAGCCCCGCCTTATGTGAGATAAAGCTCTGCCTCCCATGTTACCATATGTCAGAATGACTTGGCTAGATGTTTAAGATCAAAACTTAAACTTAAAATTAAATTAAAATGGCCAAGGAAAACAATATTTGGCTCTTACCCTCTAAGTCAGTCTGAATCTAGGGAACAGAGAACTCTCTAAAGAGCTTTGCAATTCTGGGCCACATAACCTCCTGATCAGGGAGATTAATGAGACCACTAGAGAATGAAAAGCCAATTAGTGCACTTGCTGCAAATACAAGGGTCATTAGAATCAGGAGGCATTCCTGATGCTTCCAAGGGAAGCCACATTGTCAAGCAAGTTCTGGGCCCATCTTAGCATAAATGGCACTAGCAGAACAAAGAAGCTGCTCTCAAGTTCCCCCACAAGTGAACCCTATGGGAACTCGGCTGAGGCTGACTCTTAACAATAGATAGAAACAAAGTCAATTTTGACAGCTTGATCTTAAACACCTACCAAAAATAGTTAAGCCAAAACACAGTCATTCCTGGGAGTAATGAAGGACAAGAACAGCTAGAAAAGAGGAGACAGCAACTAGGCCAATGGTCTCCAAGGGAAAGGTTCAGTCAAGTATGGCCTTGGCTTCTTCCCCTTGCAGAACCCCTATTTGCCCTCTTTATGTTTCTCCTAATAGGACCATGTCTGTTAATTACCTACAAAAGTTCCTGAAAGATCAGATACACAAATTCACCAACCAGTCAGTCAATCAACTACTTCTGTAAGACTACCAGCCCCTGATGCCCAAGACAGAGACCTATGACTCATGGCCAACTCCTCCAGCTCCAGAGACTCTGCCTCCACCTGAAACCCTCCCTATACCATTTTTCAAATTTTACAACTCCTCTTTCACTTCCTAGGAATGAGAACTACTCTTTGGCAGGTCCACTCTGATTGTAAAGTCTGCTCCATAGCATCCCCACAAAGAAGCAACAAACCTAAATTCCCCACACATCAGATGAGGAGCCACCACCCAGGCGAAGACTGGTAGATCAACTTCACTCACATGCCTAGGCACAAAAAGCTTCACTATCTACTTACTTTGGTTGATATTTTTTCAGGTTGGACATAAGCCTTCCCTACCTCCATGGAAATTGCTAACACTGTTACCTCCATCCTCATTGAGGAGGTCATTCCCAGGTTTGGACTTCCTGCCTCCATTCAGTCAGACAACAGTCCAGCCTTCACTTCTCAGGTTTCTCAACTATTCGCCAAATGCCTCAACATCACTTGGAGGCTCCACATTACCACCAACCCCAATCCTTGAGTAAGGTTGAGAGGCTTAACAGCATTCTCAAGGATCATCTCATTAAACATGCTATAGAACTCAGGCTGTCCTGGCCCAATCTCCTGCCATTGACCCTCACCTGAATTCAGGCAGCCCCCAGAGCTCCCTCAGGCCTTAATCCCTTTGAGCAACTATATGGGTGCCCTTTCTTAACTACCTAAAGCTTTCCAATCACTCCTCTTCCTCTTGTATCCTATCTCACACTTCTACACAAACTCCTAAGTGAACATGCAGACCGATGCCTTCTTGCGCCATTCATTGCTGCAATCTCAAAAAAACCAGGAACTGGATTGGACGCTCTTCAACTGGATGATGCAGTATTACTTCAGGAACTGCATCCTCAATCGTTGGAACCTCACTGGATGGGACCCCATATCATAGGTACTACTCCAATGATGGCCAAGCTTTTGGACCACTCCCCCTGGTAACATGTCTCTCACCTTGAAAAGGCACCTGTTCCAAATGTCCAGTCCTGGACTCCCACCACACCTACCAAACTCAAGATTTTTTTGCCAATTCTCTTCTTTTTTACTAATCATTAATCTCATTCAAGTTTCTATCCCAACCACAGATGGCGCTTTAACATCCAAACGACATGGTACCAGGATGACACCACCCACTCTCAGTTTATGGGTCAAGGTGATTGCCCTTCCACTGGCTGCAATCAGGCTGTCACCGTTAACATTACTGGATTCAACCAAGCCACCTCTGATACTTCCTAAAGTCCCTACGACGGGACCAATGGCTGATACTGAAGATCTCCTCCACTCAGAAATGGTTTGATGCTGTTGACAACCTATGGCTTCAAGAAACCTTTATGGACTTTGCCCCTTCTGAGATAACTGTCTATAGCCACTGGATGTTATTTCTAGCTGCCCTGGTGTTCCCAGACCTGTCCCCCGGACACTCCTCCACTTTCCCTCCTAGGTCCCACACCTCCCATCATTAAGCAGGAAGTAGCCAGATGATTTTATACCACCCCCATGTCAACTAGAAAAATAAAAAGGAAGGAATGTTAGGTGCAGGTCAGACTAAACTAAGTTGTCTGCAAGGCAGGCTGAACAAAACTTAGCTGCAGGATAACCCATGCACCCAAACCCCCCTCTATCTGGTCCTTTATCACCTGTTTTCGTCAAGTCTGAACACTCAACCCCATTCAAGGCTGAGCACTCAACCCCCCACTCAAGGCTGAACACTTAACCCCAACCTGTGCCAAGAAGACAGCTTGCAGACCCAGAGACATTATTAGATTTAGGCTATAAAAACTCCCTCCTGCTGGGCCCCTCTCTCATGCTTTCTTGTTCTCTCTCTCTCTCTCTCTCTCTCTCTCTCTCTCTCTCTCTCTCTCTCTCTTTCTTCTCTGGCTTTCACTTTCCCTCTCACTCTCTCCTCTTCTCTCCTCTCCTCTCCTCTCCTCTTCTCTTCTCTTCTCTTCTCTCTCTCTCTCTCTCTCTCTCTCTCTCTCATTGCTCTCCCCCCTTTCTTCTCTCTTTCCCCACTCTTTCTCTGTCTCTCTTTATCTCCTCTTTTGCACTGCTGCAATAAAGATATCTTGGTTACTCTGAGTGTTATGGTCACTTTCCTTTCATAAAGAAGTCTCCTTCATATTGCCTCCTGGTTACAAATTTATCTTAGTTCTATAAATATGACATCTACTCTTCAACATAAAAAGGCAATTATGGAAGTCATTGATTTTTTATAGTCTTCTCTAGATGAAGCTTTAATAATTATTTTTATTTTCTGTCTTTCCTATATCAAATAAATTAAACGGTTTACATAGTAGTACCAATTGTATGACCATAATTTCATAAACATATAATTAATGAAAATTCAGAATATACTTAACTTGGATCAGTTATACCTTGGCACATGTCAACATTTATCAAGGACAAAGTAAGAAATATTAAAATTAGAAGCAAAAATAATATTCTTATGTCTTTGAAGTTACTTTCACTTTGGTTATGGGTTTGTATTCTTTTAAATGAGTATAGGAACACCTATCCTTAGAAGAACACAGATATTTGAAAAAAGAAATTATGCATACTTTTACGAGGACTAAGTAGATAGAATTAAAAAATAATAGAGAAAATCAGAATTGCAGATAGTATCCCACAGTATTTTCAAAGAACTGTGTTATGAACCAAAAAGCTTAATGAGCCAGATTCCAACTGAGAGTATAACGTTACACTAATGTTCCACATTTCAAGTACATTTATTTACTTCCCTTTTCTGAGTTAATGAAAACAATTTCACAAAATCTCCAGAACATTCTCCAGGACTTCCATTTGACAACATAATAATGAATGTTGAAATACATAGAGTTGAAGACACCTACTAGTTGAAAACTGTCACAGTGGGATTTAGTTTCTCTTCCCTAGGAACAGGGCTTCATGATTAATCAATGACACTCAGTGAAGGGTAGCTGTGGTTGGGATGTTGAAGTATCTCAAGGCACATATGTTAAAGGCTTGGTCCACAGGGCAATGTGATTGTGAGGCAATGCAAGTTTTGAGAGGTCAGGGTAATGGGAAGTTCTCAGGTCACAGTGCATTTCCCCAGAGGAGATTGTAGGCCGGGCCTGTGCTCTAGTGCTTCCTAGCCCATGAGGTGAGCAGCTTGCTCTGCCATGTGCTTACATCATATTGTGATTCCCTTTCTAGAGGGGCAAAACAGGGGTCCTTAGTTCTTGGGTTAGAACATCCAGAATCATAAGAAAAATAAACATTTTGTCTATAAATGCCAGTTATCTCAGGTATTTCATTAAAGTCTTGGGAAGCTGACTAATATAACAATTGATTTATTATTTTACAGTTGGGTGAAGGTTCTATTCTGTCAGGAAAGTCTTCCCTCTTAGGTCTTCCACTAGAAAAGCAAAATTAGCACATGTGTGATCTGCTGTGTGCTGCAATCAGCAAGAAATGGCTCAGAATCTGCAAGAGCCTTATGTTCTATGGAAGTTGAATTCTTTCCATTCTTTTTTTTTGCTTCAGAATCTTCCACCTGAGCTTCTTGCTTATGATATCTTGAAGCTGGTGACACTACTGCTATTTGTCAGAGGCAAATCAATACCAGCAACGTTTCTTTCAGTGTCTGTGAAATAAACCCCATCCTCTTATTACCAACTCCTTTCTGGATTTAGTGCTCCAAAGAGAAGTTTTGAGCTCTCCCCCTTTTACTAATATCCAACTTTAGAAACTTCTACATTTCCACTCCTCTAGCAAGGCTGATGTGTGAAATTGACAGGCAGCACTGGTTGAGCCTGATTATCAGGTTACAATCAGGCACTTGGTTCACTCATCCCACAGACATTTTGGAGTATCATTGTGGTAGGGGCTGTGACACTCCAGTGAAATGTCTTCCTCCAGAGGTTGCCCCAAGAACCTGGGGCATTGTCTCAGAGGGCTTTGTGTCTGAGAGACTAGAGTCAGGCCAAGAGGAGGAAGCCTCAGGTTCATCCCAAATGGCTAGATAACTCTGCAGCTGCGGGTAAATGGAAGGGACCTTTGGACAGTCGGGCCCAGAGGATTTCTGGACTGGACTTGGTGCCGGGCAGCGGCAAAAGTAGCAGCAACAGCAGCAGCAGCTGCAGCCGCCAAAGTGGGCCTGGCTGGTGCAGAGGGTGCACCATGCTGGAAGCTCCCTTGCTCTCTTGCTCCTTCCCTCTGTCGCCCATGTTCAGGTACTCTCTCCCTGCTGCCCTCACTAAAAAGCAACAGATCCACCCACCTGCCCTTAGCCTTCATTCTGCCCAGGTTGCAATGATCTCCAGAATTGGCTTTCTGGGAATGGAGGGGCACCCGGTGGTAGGAGGTGGTGGAGCTCAAAGTTCCCATAACCCGCCCAGCTGCTTTGGATGCTCCACTGCCCTCATGTGTCCACAGTGGCCGCTCCCTAGGGCTGCTGGGAACCCAGGCAAATTCGCTGACTGGGCCAACTTTCAGCGGGGCCAGGACCTGGAGGAGCAGGATGGGAGGGCAATGCCGCTGGGGCTGGTGCTACCTGTGTTGATCCTCGCGTCCTCCTAGTGCTCCCAGCCCTCCAGCCCTCCCAGGTTCGCTGCACCTGCAGAGTCCACAGCGGGCTGGCGCCAGGAGGCAGGGTGTTCTGGCACTAGGCCTGCCTGGTGCGACCAACTGCAGGCAGCGCCGCCTAGCGGTACTGCAGGGTGCTGTCAGGTTAGTGACAGCTGGGTCCAGGGCCCTGGAAGGAGCAGGAGTGTCCAGAGGGCACATTAGACAGGCCACCAGCAGAACCACTCTGCACTTGCAGGGGCTAAAGGAGTTGGGGCCGCATGTGTTGAAAAGAACTTGCCCTCATGGTGTTCGGTCCTAAGGTCTCCCCTCCTAATGTGACCACTGAGCTGCTGCTTGTGTTGGATCTTCCTGGGATGCCACCAGGTCAGGAAGCCCCTAGGATGACTGGCACACGGTGACGTCATTGGGCTGTCAGTCCGCCTGTCCTGTGACACCCGCAAGTATCTGGAGAGCAGCCAGGATGGCATAGCAGCCACCAAGGGGGATCCTTGGCACGCAAAGCCCAGAAAGTCCCATGGAGAACACAAACCAGTGCACTCTTCTGCCAGAGCCTAGGATCTCCAGGCCTTTGACTCCAAAGTGGATGGACGTGAAACACTTCCTTTCTGTGTGCCGGACTTTCCCCTGCTCTGCAGTCATTTCATGGGAGTATTGTTCAAATACTTCGGCACTTCCTTCACAAGAATTGAAACTAGGGTGAGAGGATTTTTGAGTGGAGTGCATTGATTTCATGCCTTGCAATAGTTGTGAGCATCCTTTCTTCTTCAAGAATAGGCAGAAAAAGATGTTTGAGATGTTTGAGGACAGTGACTGTCTGGAAATCAAGTCATTGTCATGATCCCTTGTGTGGGTTGCCGAAAATCGGAGCATCTGGAGGATCAAAGTTCGTGAGCCTCTTTGTCGTTCTCTCTTGTGTTTTCTGTTCTTTTCTTTTTTCTTTCTTTTTTGTTCCCACATATTGTGTCCAGGTATGATTGTCCACTGTGGGTGGGGTGTTAGTCTGCCTATTCTTGAAGAAGAAAGGATGCTCACAATTATTCCAAGGCCTGAAATCAAAGGAGAACTTGCACCAGAATTTGTTCTATAGTACCTTTCTGAGGCAGGCTCCCTAGTTGAATGTATAATTAGGTGGCCTAATACTAGTTGTCAGCATGGAAGTCAAATTCCATGTGAGCTGAGCAAGCTAGAGGTGATGAAAAAAGAGAGCTGGTCCTTGGCACTGCCTTTTCTCCCTTTTCTCTGTGTAGCATTTGTACCATTTGATGTTTCTTTGAGAAAATGAGGAAGATCTGGAGCAGGGATACCTTAGTTGTTCTCATTTGAGTGAGCAGCCATGGCAGGTATTGACAAAGGTGGCTGATTTGTAAGCTATTCATCTGGTCACAACTCTTTGGAAACATTTTTATTGACTTTTTTGTTTTTGTTTTTTATACTTTCCAAACATGCTGTGTTGGGTTTAGGAGGCTGTTTTCTCTTCTAGTAAATACTTCTTTGAATCTTTGGAGAGTAGAAGTTAATTGGGCATCAAGAGCCTTAACCCAATCTGTGAACTACTCACCTGTTTGGATCGGTTGCAAGGTAACTGAAGGCAAGCGGGTGCCTCCAGACCTGGAGGAGGTCTGTCTTTTTGGTCAAGGATGTGGGCTATCTATCTGTAAGTAAAAAGTAGAAATCTCTTTCTCTGCTTCTTGATCATCTTGTCAGCTACTTCCCTCTGCCACACTCTTCTGCCATGATGTTCTGCCTCACCTGAGGTTCCAAAGAATGGAGCCTGCTCTCTATGAACTGAGACCTCTGAACTCATGAGCCCCCGAATAAACTTTGCTCCCCTAAGATAATTCTGATCAGATCGGGTCTTCACTGTAGCGAAAAAGCTGACAAATCTAGGCTTCACTGGTATTGTTACTCATTTTTAACTTCCAGTTTTGGTAAGCTCAGTTTAATACTAAAGAAAAAAATTATAGAAAAATTTACCAAATAAGAAAGTATTTATTGCTTATCACTCTTTTGATAACTGTCCCTTTATGCTGATACAAATTTCCTAGGAGTATCCTTGCATGGTTAATGAGAACAGGGCACAATTCCTATAAGGCCTTTGCTTTGAACAATCATGGGAATTTGGGCCCTTGTCAAATATTTGAAAAGCCCCTGAACACATCCAGACTCCACAGCCAGGGAGACAGACAGAATGAGAGGAAGGACTGCATCTTCCTTTCCTGGAAACTGGAAATTTCCTAGAGATGGTTCAACAGTTTTTAGCGTCTACAGATAAAATGAGAATCTTATGAACTGAAAGATATGTGTATCACTTACATATCCTAACTGGGGTTTAGTAATCTGTCTTTCTGGTATGAATATGGCCTATTGCAGGGTAGCCCTGGGCAAGTCTGAATCCAAATAAGAGGGAATGCCAGAAAACCAAACAACACAGGTCAGTGAATATTCATACAAAATATATCAAGTGGAAAGAAGCCCTCTCTCAATTACATCCCAGTGGCGAATTTGTCTTAGTGCTAGAAATACTATGGCTACTCTTCATCTTCACAAAGGCAGTTATGGAATGAATTCATTTTTTATAGACTTCTCGATACTTCCCTTTATGAAGCTTCAATAATTATTTAATAATTAAATTTATTAATTATTAACGAATGATTAAATTTTAGTAATTATTTTTATTTCCTATCTTTCCTTTCTGAGTTAATGAAAACCATTCCACAAAATCTCCATAACTTTCTCCAGGATTTCCATTTGACCACATAATAGTGAATATTGAAATAAGCATAGTTGCAGACACCTATTCATAGGAAACTGTCACAGCGGTATGGACTTTCTCTCCCCTGGGAACAGAGCTTACATGATTCACTGCACTCAGTGAAGGGTATCTATGGTTGAGATGTTGAAGATTCTCAAGGCAACCTATGTTCAAGGCTTGGTCCACAGGGCAAGGTGATTGGGAGGCGGTGCAAGTTTTGAGAGGCCAGAGTAACGGGAAGTTCTCAGGTCAAGCTGGCAAAGAGCTCTCTGCAAGAGGCAAAACTGTGGCCAATTGCTAGAAAACAGTTTTTTGGTGATGTTTCTGTGGGTATCTGCCCTGCTTCTGAGAACTTAACAACATAGGGACCTCCTACAAGTCAATAGGGAGAAACAAAGAGCCTACAAAAGTGGGAAAACCCAGTGTCTGCTGTTTATACAAGATGACATACCAAAAATTTAGTAATCCAAATCACAGTAGAGGAATCCAAAGGAAACATAAAGTACATGTGTGTGTTTGCCTATCAAATACACAGAATAAAGAGAGTGTGAAAATCTAATGTCAACAGCGTTGGAGAATGGAATTATCATGCTCTCATAACTGCAACACAAAATTGTCATAACTCTTCTGCAGAGAAGTTTCAGAAAATATGCCAAAATTTAAAGTGCATGCCTACCTTTAGCCCAAGAATTTCAATTTAAATGAGTCATTCATTGGTACTGTGGCTAATTTTTTAATTTTACCAAGAAGTGGTCCACTGTAATCATTTTACATGCATATATAAAATATATATTTTACTAGGTTTTTTTGAGGGAGTGTATTTGGACACAATGCCTTTATTTTGTTGATTTATTTTGATGTGGTGCTGAGGATCAAACCCAGGGCCTCTGCTCTACCAGTTGAGCACTCTACCGCTGAGCTACATCCCCAGTCCCTCTAGTGTTTTATTTCTTAAAATTACTTTTACATATCTGTATACATATTCCTATATAATTATATCTCTAACACTTTTTTTAAAAAGTTACCACATTGGGAGTGTAGCTCAGCCATAGCACATTTGCCTTGCATGTCGGAGCCTTGTGTTCCATTCTCAGCACCATTTATAAATAAAAAAAATTAAAGATCTATCCACAACTAAGAAAAAAACAGGTGAGCCCAGGGCAGAGGGTAGACACAGGGCCATCCTGCCTAGGCTGACTCCAGCAGCTGGGGACCTGGGTAGGTGCTCAAGCCAAGTCAAGTCATTCAGTTCCTCTCTGAACTCCCCCTCTGCTGAAACTGTGCCTACAGCAGGTCTGCCTGGGTTGTACCATATGCAAAAGGGTCACATGGACTCTGCAGTGTGATGTCAAGTACCCCATTCACTTCTACTTAAGAGGAGGCAAGAAATCAAATGTGAGATTCTTGCACTTCAAAAACCATCAACCACCACAAGGTACTAGTTTTAAAACACCTCACCATCATTAGGGGGATGATTTTATGGTAAAAACAGGTTAGTGATTGGAGCCATTACTTTGTTACTGTTACTAACATCACTAGTACTACCACTATGACAGCTGTGTCCACTCTGTAAGAGGTGCCATTTAATTGTAGCATCTGCACTATCCAATTTAACAGCCACTAGTTATCTTTGGCTATTACAATTGGAATCAACTAAAGTTAAATAAAATTTGGTTTCTCAGTGGCAGTAGCCACATTTTGAATGCTCTGCAGCCCCCCGGAGGTGAGGGGCCATCACATTTCCCTGGAGATTAGGACATTATACCTGTCAAGACAGGGTGTTGGGTGGTGCGGGTGTTGACTATCCCCTCCTCAGAGAGGAACAAGCAGCACCTCAGGCTCCCACACTTTGCATGGATAGGTATTGGTGATGAGTAAAGTTAACAAGACACATCCCGAGTGACATATGTAATACCTGATCATGTGCAAATGTCTGCACGTTATCGGTATATGGCACCCCCAGTCTCTCCTGGAGCAGGGCCTCCACGTCAGCAGCAGTACATTGTTCAGAGTGTTGCTTCCAAAACCAGTTCCTATTGATCCAGAAAGGACTTTTCTCTTTGTCACTGGGGGCTCCTTTTGGTCAAGAGCTTTCTACTTTTGCATACCTTTAGTCTTACATCAATGAGATCTTGAGGGAGGACAAGGAAGTTTATCATGTGGTCAGCCTGCCATGTTGAACAGGAAGACACTCCTGCCCCTGTGCTTGGTGAGCGTGAAATGCTGAGATTTCAGGGCAGTTGGTCAGTCTCTCCTTCACACATTTTGATGTGCCCCTGGGCTGGGGGCTGGGATATGAGGGGCTCAATTCTTGACATCAGGGACATCTCCAAGCTCTCTGCCCAGGAACAGAACTCTACTTTTTTGTGAAATCTCCTTGGTGATGAAGGAGGGATGCTAGCTCAGGACCCAGTATAGAGCTCTGAACACTGATGTCCTGAGACAGAGTGAGGAAGCCATGTTTTCTTAGGACAAAACTGGAGAAGCTGCTGGATTCTTTTCTGAGGAAAGAAATGAGAACATTTAGAGCAGGCTGAGAGAGTTTGCAGTGGACTTGGGTCAGACTTGCCTACTTTTCCCACCTTCCCCCAAAATGCTGTGACTCTGGGAAGTTCTGCCCTTGGCTGGTGATGGTTGTGAGGCCAGCCTTCTCTACAGGAAGGGGCACTGTGGGTGGAGGAATCAGGGTATGAGAGGGCACAACACAACCTGTCCTCCTGGATGGGCTGTGTCCCCACCAGACTCTCTGTGGGTTCTCCTTGGTCCATTCCCAGGTCCCATTGAGAAACAGCCATAGAAAGCCAGGCTGGCTTCTGCTGGGTGGGTCTGTGCACAAGGAGCCCCCTTTTTCACATGCAGCCTGGCAGGCTGGCTATGACCTTGTGATGCCTCTGAGCTCTGAGGATAGAGAACGTGGGTGTTGAGGTCCTCATCCTGTGAGGTGCTGCTGACCCTGTGTGTGTCTTCCTTGCAAGGTGCCACAGTGTAGTCACAAATTACAGCCCAGTAGGAGCTGCTGTGGTTAAGAGGCACCATTCCCTAGGGACCATGCTGTCCATCTGAATTGCCCCAGTGTGGAGTGTCATAGGGATGCAGAGCAGTTTGGCTATAGCTGGCCCCATGGCTGGTCCTTTGGTCTTTCACAAGCTGCTGAGATGGGGCCAGGGTCAGAAGCTCGATGAAGTGCTGAGCAAGTCAAGACTCACACACTGGAAACTCTCTGGGGAACCCAGTTCACATGTGAGCGAGACCTGGGTCTAGAGGAAAGGAGGTAGTGGAGGCAGGGGCCCGAGAGCTCTCTCCTATCTGAGGGGGATGTGTCACTCAGCCCATCCCCTCTTGCTGCAGGAGGCAGAGCCCAATGCTTCCCAAGTCTCTGGATGTTCATGACAGGCCAGGAGGCTGGAAGGAGATGAGCTCTTTCCATTTTTAATTGCTCAGGTTCAAGAAGGTAATAACGACCTATGTGCACAGGGGGTGGCAGGTTTGGGGGTGCGGTGGAGGGGAGTGGCAACTTCTGGGGCAGGGCCTCCCCGCCATTCATTCTGTGTCCTCCACAGAATGCAGGGTGAGCAACAGAGGGACAGGCTCATGTCCTGGGGCTGGCTGGCTGCTCTTGAGGTCAGCAAGTGTTCTGGGACAGTGCTCATAGTGCAGCCAGCCTGGCTGGGCAGTGAGGGGCTGCTGCCCTTGCTGCCTCAGACATTGGAGCAGGGCAGCTGAGTTGGCCCAAGCAAGCTAAAGGGTGGTCCAAAATGGACCCTACATAACCAACACTGTGAGTGATCCCAGGCCTGGGTAACATGACACTCTGTGAGCAGCTTCCTTCCTGCCTGCAGCTGCCCTGCTCAGCTTTGAGGTAGGGATGGGGCAACCCCACAGGGAGCCCCAGTCCTCATGAATGGGCAGACATGGGGCCTGGGGCTTTCCAGCACTGCTTGATGATAACAGCCTCCCAGCAGCAGCCAGGCGGCACTGTGTCTAGCCATGCTGAGAATCTTGATAGATGCAGTAGTCTCAGTTGTTTTCTTCAACAAAAACTTATTGAGAGGAAATTCACACACCCTGAAATTTAGCCTTTAAAGTCCATGGATCAGTGGGTTCAGAACATTCATAAGGTGGGGGCAGCACCACTGAAACTGATTTGTTCACCCCAAAGAGGCTTCATATTCACACACAGCCACTCTCTATTTCCTACCACCACCAAGTCTCCTTGTCCTAGCCCACCTCCGTCCTCCTCTGTCTGAGTAAACTGGTGTATCCTCAACTCTTCATGGAAGAGGATGCATGTGACATGTGGGTCCTGGGGTCTGGGCTGCTGCCCTTGCTGCCTTAGACTTGGGAGCAGGGCAGCTGAGTTGGCCCAAGCAAGCTTAAATGTGGACCCAAATGGACCCTAAGTAACCAACCCTTTGGGTGACCCCAGGCCTGGGCAACAGGACACCTTGTGAGCAGCCTACTTTCTGCCTGCAGCTGCCCTGCTCAGCTTTGAATTAGGGATGGGGCAACCCTACAGGGAGCCCCAGGCCTCATGTGTGGGTGGATGTGGCCCCTGGGGCTGCCCAGCACTGCTTGATGGTCTCACTCTCCCAGCAGCAGCCAGGCGTCACTGTGTCTAGCCATGCTGAGTGTCTTGGTGGATGCACTAGTCTCAGTTGTTTTCTTCAACAAAAACTTATTGAGAGGAAACTTGCACACCCTGAAATTCAGCTGTTTATAGTACATGGATCAATGGGTTCAGAGCATTCATAGGGTTGGGACAGCACCACTGAAATTGATTTGTTCTCCCCAAAGAGACCCCATATTCACACTCAGTCACTCTCTACTCCCTCCCACCACCAACCCTCCGTCCTCCTCTGTCTGTGTAAACTGGTGTGTCTTCAACACTTCATGTAAGATGACTTATGTGATGTGTGGCCCTGGGGTCTGGCTTCTTGCACACAGCATGATGTTTTCCAGGCTCATCCATCTAATGTGTGGCAGCATGTGTTGGGATGTCCCCCTTCATGGCTGATAACCTCTGTTACTGCTGCTCACATGTGTGGCACTGGTCTTGTCCACTCGGCTGATATCAGCTGGGGGACATTTGGGTTGTCTCTAATTTTTGGCTCTTGTGAATAATGTGGTCGCTTAGATTCATAAACGAGTGTTGATATGGATGTGTTTTTTTAATGCAATAAACCAGAAATAGTGAATTATTGTTGCCTCACACTTATTTCTTAGAGGATGTTGCCATGGTAACTTTGGGGAGATCCTTGGAGCAATCTATACTGCTTTCCATTAGTGTTCAGAGTGAAATATTTTGTGCTAGACACTTGTGACTCAAAAGCACACAGGAGCCACGAGTGTCTGAGTGGCTGGTGGGGCATCAGGAGTGGCGGCTGATGCCACATAGTTGGAGCCCTCACCAATCACGCAGGACAGCAGCTGCCTTGGAGGATCCTGGGCTCTGTGTAGCAGGTGTTTGTATTTTTCTTTTAATGAGGGAATCTAGAAATGTGGATATTTATGGAGATCTATCTACTTTCTTTTCTTTCCACAGTGACTGCCCTGTGTCCGGTCGACCTGCCTCTGTTGAGCTTCCAGGTGTCTAATCTGTAGTATGGAGGCCCAGAATGTTCCTGCCTTGCACAACCCAGAGAGGATCAAATGAGTCATGAGTGCTTGTGATTAAAGTTCACCTGGCACTTGGAAGCCCAGTTGGTGCTCCTTCTTCATCCTTACCACCAGAGTCCAGGGACAGGTTCTCTACCTAAGGAATCATTTGGAATAGCTACACCTCACCAAGGGCAAAACCACATGTCCACTGGTAAGCAGAGTGATGACCCCAAAGATGACCACTCCCCAATCCCCAGCACTCGTGGGTATTTCTATGCCTGGACAAAGGGGCTTTGCATGTCTCAATAAGTTAAGGATGTGAGGTAGGGGATTATCCTAGGAGAACAGCTGTGGCATGAACACGCATTCCTCAAAACCAAGCTTGAGAAACACAATATTACCAAGATGGGACTAATTTTTTTTTTAAAAGCAAGAACATGTAACACCTTTCAAAAGGTGTTTAGACATTTAAAAGTCTGCATAAAGATGCTGTTCATTTTCTGAAAGCAAAATAAACACACAAGCTTGCAGTGCATGAGATTCCAGGTCAATGAAAGCCCTGTGTTCCTGCTGCCCCAGGTGGCCTTCCTGAGACCTCCAAGTGCCTACCCTTGGCCTGTGGTCTTCCGTGCCATCTGTGGGGAGGGGCAGCCTGTTGTGAACATTGTCTCTAGGGCTGAGCTTCATGGTTGGGAGAGGAAGGAGGGAGAACTGTAGAATGGCTGGTGGATCTCACCCTGGCTGTTTCCATGTGATAAAGGCAGAGAGGGAAACTGATCATCTCTTCCTGGATGGGGACTTCTGTCCACTGCTGTCCTGGCCATTTTGAGCAGGGTGTATCAGAGAGACAGTGATGGCAAAGTTCTGGAGCACAGTGATGGGAGAAGGTGGGGCAGGTGAGGAAGGAGGAGCAGGAGTCCAGCCGATGTCCCAGTTTCTGCTCCCACTTCCTGGCTGTGACATAGACAAGTGTCTGGCTGTCCTTGAGCCTCTGTGTCCATCTTCTAAGTGAGTGACAGTATGTGCACAGGCTTGACCACTTTCTGGTCCCCAGCCTGTCCCATGTCACACATCTGCACATATGGCTCTTATGGACTCGGGAGATTGTATTCCAGTCTTGACCAGCTGTGTTTCAATATACAAAGTTCCAGACTGCATTTGATTGGAATGAGACTTTGAAGATCATCTAGTTATGGCAATCTCTGAGGAAAACTGAGGCTTGAGAGATGGCTTTACCTTGGTTCTGAGAGAACTTGCTTATGACCCCCAGGCAGGCAGAGGCTGATCTGACCCAAAAGCACACCTGTCCCTTGCCTGTGACAAGAAGCAGCTTTGGGAGGGTCTCCTGTGCCCAGCCACAGCCTCTGTTGGGTGGTCGTCCCTGTGTTCACACAGGGAGGACACAGTGCTTCCTTAAGGCAGGCCTGGGTAGTCTAGGCTGCTGCGTGCTGTCACCATCTTTAGCCCTCCTTTCTTGCCCCCTTCAGGGGCCACACTGGCTTCTTTCCTGTAGGGGCACATCTTACTCTCACCTCACTGGGATGCCAGAGCCCCTCACTCAGGTCTCAGGTCAGATAAATTCCCCTATGCATGGCAGTGGTGTCCCCAGCCACCCCCATGACTTCTTTCTGTGTCTCCTTCAGAATTAGCACTCTCCAAAGTGATCCTGTCACACCTGTGCCTGGCAGCCTACAGACCCTCTTCACAGGCTCCATCCTTCTCCATCCTTCCACCAAGAGGGGTCTGTCCCCAAGGGTCCCTCATGACATTATGACATTTTCATATGTCTCCAACCTTCAGTGACATCCTCTCTCATTCCTGGCATTGACCATTTTGGCCATTTCCTTCACTCCTGATTATTGTGGCTACTGCTTTATCAATTTTAATGATCTTCTCAAAAAATCAGCTTTTGGTTTCATAGATTTTTACTACTTTTCTTTTCTTACTTTTTACATTGCATTGACATCTGATCTAATATTTCCTTTCATCTGCTAACTTTGGATTTAATTGGCTAATTTTCCAGGAGACAATTAGGTGGAAGCTGAGGTCATAGATTAGACCTGGTTCTTCTCTCTAGAGCTAGTGCTGTACATTCCCTCACATTCTCGTACACCATATTTTCATCTTCATTCAATTCACAGTATGCTCTAATTTTGCTTTTGACTCTTTTCTTTGATCCATGGTGTTCAAAAAGGTGTTAGGTACTTTCCAGTGTTTGGGGATTTTCCACATAGACCCCACTATGATTTCTGGTATTTATTCCTGTGTGATCAGAGAACACACCATAAGGACTTGAGTCCTTTCACTCTGCCTAGACCTGCTTTGTGGTGGGAGGGGGATTTCTCTTGCTGATGCTATATGCTCCTGGAGGGTGTTCTGCTGCTAGGTGGGGTGTTCCACAGGGCTGCCAGGTGTTCAAGTCCCCTGAGTTCTTTCCACCTGTTGTGTGAATGACTGAGAGAAGTGTTGCCCTCCCACCACTGGGGAGCTGGCTTTTTTCCATGGTAGCTCTGGATGTTGTCACTTCATGTATTCTGAAGCTGTTGTTAGGTGTAGCGCATTGGGATTGTTAGGTCTCTTGAGAGTCGACACTTTCACCTTTATTACATGGACCTATTTGCTCATAGTGGTATCATATGCTATGATGTCCCCTTTTTCTGATGTTGGCATAGCCACTGCAGTGTTTTTGACTGATGCAGCATCAGGTAGAAGCAGAGATGTCCCTTGTGTTTTTCACCTCTCTGTGTTTGGTAGAGTTGTCGTGGGCAGCACTTAGTGTTTTGTTCTCTGATGTTACTCTCGGAGTGCTCAGGCCATTCCCAGTCCCACTGCTGTGTGTGTGGCCAGGGTTAAGACATGCCCTTGCTGTCTATTTTTATCTGTCCCACCTGTCCTCTAGTCTCCTTTTCTCTTTTATGCCTTCTTTTGGATGAATCAACTCTTTTTTTATTGTTCTGTTTTGTCACTTTTATTAACATGCGGGCTATAGCTTTCTTTTCTTACTCTGCAGTAGCTTTAGGGCTTATCATGAGCCTTTAGCTTGTCATGATCTGTCTTTGAGCACTGCCTGCCACCTGGTCCCGTGTGATAATGCTGCAGTAGTCTCCCAAGCTGTTTCCCTCTTGGTAATGGGCTGAAGCTTCACCATTGCACCTTTGGCTGTGTCACAAGCATGCTGCATGGTTATTATTTTTGTGTAAACATTGGACGCTCTTTTGAATAGTCAATAATAATAATTCTACAGAGCTCTCATTTATTCCCCATGTTGACACCATTGTCTTTGCTTTGCATTCTGGTGTGCAGACCAGTTTGCACCTGGCTCATCTCTCCCTGACCAGTGTGTTCCTGTAACATGCCTATGATGGAAATCTGCTGCTCCCATTGTGATAGGCTTCCATGACTCTTTCAGACTTTGCTTTGCCTTTACTTGGTGAAGAGACCCCTCCACTGGCTGTAGAGGTCCCTGAGGTGCCATTTGGCCTGCAGCTGGGAGGTGCTGGCTGTCCCATTTACCTGCCTGTTTCTGGTAGGAAGCTCACCATTTCCTGGTTTCTGATACTGCTGAAACTTAGATGTCCTCTTGGCTGATTTCCAGGTTTCCATTCTGTGTTGGATTCCTGCGACCCACTGTGGTGTTTCTTGCATCTACTTCATTGTTCTTCTGTTGGGATTTGTTGACTCCCTGGATTTGGGGTTATTGCTCTCATCACATCTGGGGACACTTCAATGCCAAACCTTCCTGCTCTCCTTCCTCGCCTAGGTTTGGAGACTAGTTGCCTAGATGTTGGGTGACTTGAGTAGCACTTGCTGGCCTGGTGTGCTCCTCAGGTGTTGAAATGCCCCTCCTCTATGTTTTGACCTGGGGTGTCCTTCTCTTCTCCAGTGTTGGATCTACTGACATCTCATCAAGGGCATTCCCCATGTGGATGGCAGATTTTCCTGTGAGCCCTTCCCCTTCCATGTTTCTATTTAAATTTTTAAGTTCAGCCTTTGATTCTGGATTCTTGTGTTTCAGATGCAGTCATAACAAATAGCACAGCCAGCTCCATGTCTTCCTGTAGTGCAGCTTGTGGCTTCTCACATGTTACCCTGTGAGGAAATCACTTGGGGGTTCTGGATTGCATCATGAATTAGAAATAAAAGTATTGACAATCAGCTGCATTTTTGCCATCTGAGGCCCCTTTCAAAGTGGCCTTCAGGCAGTAGGAAATGGTTGCCCCCAAGAAGGTTTCTGAGAGTCAATTACTTGACATCTGCTACAGTTTTGGAGTGTCATTTCACAAAGCTGACTCTGTGGCTATTGTGTTATGTTGTTTGTCACCACGGAGTTAGATTATGCTTGTGTGTTAACAGACAGAGTGTGGGGCAGCCACAGGTGTCCATCAGCTCAGCTCTGCTGTTAAGTACGCTCAGAGTTCTCAGGGAGTGGCCCTAGCTCTGCTAACCATCCACTCTCCAAGGTCCCAGGAACCAGCTCCCCTCAGATCCTGCCATGTGAGTCCAGTGGCTTTTTGAGAAGCTGTTACTTCCAGGGCCTTATGAATAGAAGGCAGTTGTGCTGGTGCCCACAGAAGGAGAAGAGTATAGAACAGGGACCACCTCCTCAGGAAGAGGCAGTTATGCCAGTGCCCACAGGAGGAGAGCAATGGAGAACATGGGACACCTCCCCAGGAAAGCCTTGGTGGCCTCTGCTCTACAGGAACATGGCACAAGCTTCTTCAGGGCCCTCTAGGCATCCCAATCCTGCTGTTGCCTTGGTCTGAAGGACCCATGGGAAACCCAGGTATGATGGAAGCTCTGATGCTCAAGCCCTGGAGGGAAATCTTATTTTTTAATTCATTGCTAGCTGATGGTGTGAGGTTAAGCACACTATTTAACACCTCTCTTTTCATGTTGTCCTTTAAAAATTCACATTCTGCTAAAATTAAATATTGTTACCATTTAGCAAACCCTTTCAAATATGCTAGTTGCTTGTCAATCATGGAGTTGGGACATGAGGAAGAGAGAAAACAAACACTATTAACAGCATCATGGGCTATGATGTTCAGTTCTAGGTACAGCTTCCTGGACTTCAGGTGCACTCAGCAGGCCATGTGCAGAGGTGGTAGGTGGTTTGGTATCTTCTAGCACAAGCCACTGTGGGACAGGGCACTGCATGGAGGGCATGGGCTTCTGTCCTCATTTCCTGCACTCTCTCCACACAGCTCCCAGAAGCACACAAAGCTCCATGATGCTCACTATTCAGGGATCACCTCTGGCCACCTTCTGCAGCATCTGGAGGGCCCAGCCACACCTCCAGTGAGGGCTGGACCTCAGCCTGAGCAGGGAATGTGCTGTGCCCTTGGCCCTGGTGACTCTTCTCAACCCCAGGGGTGGCCCAGCTCTTTCCATTTATGATACTGGTATTCTTAAAATCTTTTTAAAAATATCCCAGTTGTCACCCACCTTTTATTGGTTAGTAATTGTTATCTTAGGCATTTTCTGATCAGAGTTCAGGTGTTTTGCCCCAGGCTGCGTGCTGACTGACATGTTACCAGGCATGGTTTTGTGTTCATGTACATATTGGTGTGACATTAAAGTGATATTAGTTGTCCCTTCACCAACCCTCCTTATCCATCTATCAGTTTAGTGAGTCCCCCTGGACACCTCAGGCCCCCTTTCCAGTGAATGCAAGACTGCTTTCCTTGATGGCATCTAGGGTTTTCAGGATGCCCAGTGGGAGTCACTCATGGTGTCTTCTTGAAGCTCTAGATGTCTTAGCTGGTGGTTCCTGTCCTGTGGTGGGCTAAGAATCCCCAGGGAAGCCATGTTAGTGTGTGTGTTCTTGGGCCTCTTCCCTAGGTGTGGGGTTGCAGGACTGCATTTGTCCCTGCGAGTTCTTCCTATTGATTTTTCCCACTTAGTTCAAGCTACAGCCCCTGCAGGTGCCTCGGTGCCCAGCCAGTGCTTGGGGGCTTGGAGAAGCATCTCAGATGCAAGTCAGAGGTCACAGGGACAGATGCAAATCCAGCGCTTCATGTCCCCAACTCATTTCCTTCTCTCTGACCACCACTCCTTGCCTAACACAGAGTGAAACCTTTTTTCTGTTCCTTTACTTAAGCTGTGAGGAAATTGAAGCAGGCAAATAATTTGTTTTCAAAATATTTTTTTTCGCATTGTGAAAATCTGTTAAATATAAACTTTCATAAAAAAGAAAATGGAAATACTCCTTTCTCCTCCTGCCTACAGACACTGATTAACTAAAGTGATATGGAAAAATAATGGAGAGTTGAGATTAGTTGAGAAAGACCTTCTCTGAAGGTTAATGAGATGCAAAGACTCACATCCCTCCTGGCTCAGTGTCTTAACACATTTCAGGTGTTGATGTTGGTTTTTCCTAATAAGCAGAACTGCACAGGGGTGAGGAGCCCCCAGGCTGTGGGCATTGGTAGCAGATGCAGCACTCAGTGTTTTGATATTAACTGAGATTTTTGTGCCTTTGTGTAAAATTTTGTGCCTCTCATCTAAAAAATCGGAACTCTGACTTCTTCCTCAGACTTGTTCTTAGAATTATGTTAATAAAACCCATGTGACATAAGCGGTACCCACAGTCCTAGGTGTGCATATGTGCACTTTGTCCTGATCATTTTCACTTGCGTACCCAGCAGTACCTTGAATGTTTGCTTAACAATTAGCTTTTTAGATAAAGTGCTTCCCACCAGGATACATCAGTGGACACGAGTGTAAAGTTCTTGCTGGACCTCCCTGGACTGAGGGGCACTCTGCCCTGTGTCTCTGCTCTGTCAGGAGCTGCTCCACACACTGGGCCCAGCTCAGCAACTTCAGCCTAATAGTTGCAGGATGCAGCAGTCAACGGGCTGAACTGGGACATCTGAGCACCGGGTACACTGGCCTCTTGGTTTGTCTAGATCAGAAGTCTTCTGGCTTGCAAGGTCTGAGTCTCCTTCTTGGCTCTTCCTTGATGCCTCTTTCTGTCTTTATGCATGCAAACCCAGTTGGTCTGCCTCCTCTGGTAGGTCTGCTAGCTCTCTGAATTTGCCCCTCCAATTTGTACAGATCCCTTTGTCCTTTCTCATTTAATCACACTCCACTGCTCTTTCTCTGTATATCTGTCTCTTTGTTTCTCTATTTCTCTTCCTCTATCTCTTTAAGACCATACCTCCTTGTCCTTTGTCTCCCTTTCCTCTTCCCTTCTCTCCTTCTCTTCCTCCTCATCTCCTTCTTGCTATACTCTTCCACCTTTCTCACCTCCTCTCTCTTTCCTTTCCAAACTGTTCATCCATCCGCCCATTCATTCATCCATTCTTCCTTCCATCCATTCACCCATCTATCTATCCATCCATTGATACATTCATGGATCCATTCACTCATCCATTCACTCATCCAACCATTATATATAGTATATATCAGTTCAGTCTGATGAATCAGTAGCGTTCCATTTGATAGGTCAGCTTGCTGGCAGCCCATGGGACTTACTCAGGCTCCTGGCACTTGCCTTCACTTTGATTTTTTGCATTCACAGAGACAGAGTCAGCTGGGGGTGGAGCTCAGTGCCTGCTGGTCCTTCCTGGGTGTGGGCACACTCTGGGCATGTTCACATTTCTATGGACAAGCATGGCCATACTCATATGCATTCCCAGGAACATGTCATAGTCTTCCAAAGCCCTGTGGTGATTTCCTTATCCATCTTTTCCCTTTAAGCTTTTTGATGAACATGCTCTCCACTGCCTCAGAGAGCTATGTAGGTAAACAGTCACCTGTAGCTGCTTTTGACAAACATCTCTATAGAAAAGATGAGCCCAGAGCCAGGTCACATACAGCCTTGCAAGTGGTGTCTTCCAGGAAACCCACAGACAAGTTCTGTACCATGGATGGTTTGGGGATGAGTGTGCAAAAAGTCTCCAGTGGGGTTTTCTTTCCTATGGTGCCCACAATGGTGGTTTTTACTGGGAAGGTGGTATCATATTTCAAAGCCATTGTGGAGCTAGAAAGTGGGGGAGTGGCCTAGGTCAAGTTAAAATGTCACAATGGTCTCCATTTTTTTTACTAGGATCTGTCCCTCTCTTTCTTGTATAAATGCTATTCCAATCATACAAATGTTTGGTGCATCTTCAGAGCCCAGGAAAAGTTGATTTTGACAGTGTTTGCCAGTTCCCTTGTGACTTTTATGGAGAAGAGAGATTTATGATGGCCTTACTCTGACTTTGCCCTTGGTGTCACCCTCATGTAATGGAAGTGCCTTCCACAGAGGAGTGTGAGTTGCTATCTAGGCATCAGACCTGGAGCATCCACAGAAGGGAGCAGAAAATACTTGTTCTGGGTATGATGGTGGATGTTTAGCAGTTTCTGTGAACAGCTCACTGTTTCGATGTAATATTGAATGTGGTAATTGCTCTCTCAGTGTCCTGAGGGTACATAGGGTTCTACTTTGGGATTTCAGAGAGCCTAAATTCATTAACATTATTTTGAAATTATCTCCTCAAGATCCTATCCCATGCTGGGCATGGTGTTTCATGCCTGTAATCCCTGTGACTCAGGAGGCTAAGAAAGGAGGATCACAGGTTCAAAACCAGCTTCAGCAATTTAGTGAGACTCTAGGCAACCTATTGAAACTCTCTGTCTCAAAATAAAAAGAAAAAGAAAGGGCTGGGGATGTGACTCCATGGTTAAATGCCACCAGGTTCAATCCCCTACACACACACACACACACACACACACACACACAAACAACTCAAATCCCACCAGGAAAGTAAATATATCAAAAGAAGAAGGTTGGCTTACCACCTTGTTGGGGTGGGCCACCACCTTTCCCACATGTTCCTTACAAATTTGATATTTTATCTTGAAAAGTAGCTAGTATTTGCAGGATTAATATCACTGCAAAGCAATTCATGTATAAAAAGATAATAACACTCATACTATATTGGGAGGGTTGCTGAGGAAGCAGAATGGATGATTAATTGCATGCCAGCCATTTAGAACACCGCCTGTCTCCTAGTAGCTGTCTTAGTGACTGTTGTTGCTGTCATTAAAGGCTAGCTCCTTCTTTTGTCTTTCTCCTATTTTGGAATGAAGAGTGTGGGGGGGCAACTGAGGACATTGAGTGTGGGACCCACCAAGTGCCTGGGTTGAGGTGGGGACTGAGGAGAGGAGCAATGGGTGATGGCCTACTGGAGGGTTGATCGCCAGTACTGTGGACTTCCACTGCTGATCTGAGTTTTGCAGCTGTTGCTGGCTTCTCTGCTTTGCCTTCTTCTCCAGCATTGTGTGGAAGTAGCTTCTCCCCTGTGGTGCCTGTGTGAGCCTTGCAGTGGCTCTTTAACTCATTCATTGAGCAAACATTTTAAGCTCCATCTGTAATGGCAGATGCATGGAGGGCTATGCTCATGGTGCGCATTCTGCCCTGAGACATGTACAGATGGCCTATTATACATCTATAAGCTCCCTATGGAGTGGGGGTATGTTTATCCCTATTTGCAGACTGGGGATGAGAGGTAATGTGGGGCAAAAGTCCCCTGAGTGTGAGAAGGCTGAACTGTGCAGGGGATAGAGAGAAGGGTACAGGAGAATGATGGGGAGGTGGGCAAGGCCCAGGTAGCCTGCCTCAGTGAGTGGGACTCTATCTTAAGTACAGTAGGGCACCTTCCAGGAGTTTTGATCTAGGAGAGAGAGAGTCTGTGCTGGAGATCTTGGCCACTATGAAGAGAGACACAGGGAGAACCCCAAGGCCCTTGCAGCTGCCCAGGTGAGAGATGTTGGGAGAGCAGGGGAGTTGGTAGAGGTGACAGCAGGAAGTTGACAGATGAAGATGAATGATGAAGATAGAATCTATGAGCCCCCATGGGTCACCAGGGTTTGGAGGAGAATCTCTGGGGGCTGAGAGGTGAGGGAGGGGCCATGATGCTCAGCTAAGCTGAGCAGTGTTTTCTAAGAGCCATAGCCAAGTAGTAATGATGCATGGCATTTTTGGTTGAAAGGTGATGCCAGCAAGCCATTGAGATGATATGATTATGTTAAGATCTGCATTCAAATGGATATTAGACACCTGCTGTCCACCTCAGCCTGCTAAGGGACACCTGGAGAGTTCCCATTAGTTGGGGAAGTGCAGTAGGAAGGAATTCCAGAGGAGGGATTTCCTGTTGGTGTATGCTCCCTGGAAATATGCCTACCCACACATGCAATTTGGCTTAATATGTGATATTAAAGAGAATATCAATTTACTAAATAGAATAAAGGTCAAAAACTCTGTGTTTGAGGAGGAAAGAATTAGAGACAATGAGCCCCCTGCCATGCCAACCCCCTTGTAGTACTGGGTGTTAAATCCAGGGGCTTTTGCATGCTAGGCAAGCACTCTACTACTGAGCTACATCCCCAGCTAGAGAACTCATTTTTTCCCCTTTGCTTTACAGGGTTTGTTGAGAGTACTGAAAGTACTTTTATAATTTTATCCCTTTATTTTCTTTTTTGGAAACATTTAAAAATCGACACAAAATAATTATACATATTTATTACATACAGTGAGATGTTTGAACATATGTACTCAGTTTATCAATTTTTGTGTTGTGAACATTCATTAAATGTACTCTTTTAAAAAAATATTTATTTTTTAGTTGTAGTTGGACACAATACTTTTATTTCATTTATTTTTATGTGGTGCTGAGGATCGAACCCAAGACCTTCCACTTGCTAGGTGCGTGCTCTAAGGCTAAGCCACAACCCCAGCCCCATTAAATGTACTCTTAAATGCATATGTTGGCATAGATTTGGAGTGTAAGTATCTGAATTTATCTAAAACTGTTGTTTGAACTTGGCATTCATGCAGAATGCCAGAAAGTCACTAGCCACTTGGAGCATCCAAAGATACTGAGCCACAAATTTTTGAAAAATTAAGATATATAAAATCATGGACTACTTTTAAAGAAAATTGAACAATTCATTGCTTTAAATTTTATGTTTTTATTTTTTAGTTGTAGTTGGACACAATACCTTTATTTTATTCATTTATTTTTATGTGGTGTTGAGGATCGAACCCAGGGCCTCACATGTGCTAGGCAAGTGCTCCACCACTGAGCCACAACTCCAGCCTTGCTTTAAAATTACACAAAAATAAATAGTGCAAGTACTTTAGTGCTTTTTGTCTGTGTTGTCCTGTCCGATACATTGATGAGACAATTGACTTTCCTGTCCATGCCACAATTTTAAATGTATTATGTATGTTGGAAAGATAACAAGTTTCTAAATATGACTTCCTTTTCCAGAAAATGTCTGAGTTTAGACAGAGCTGGAGAAGCAGAGTGTGGTGTGCTCTGATCAGGTGGAGAGGTCCAGTCTTCAGGGAGATGGTCTAATTGGGCTTGTGTGGTGATTAAGGGGCAGACAGCTCTGGATTTGCAGGACAGAATTCCCCTGGCCCTCGCCACAGCCCCTTCTATCTCCTTCAGCAATTGTGAATATTTGGTCCCTAACACAACCACACCTGTAGAATAACCATGTTGAATTGTTAAAACTGGCATTGATGGGGCCAAACCTCTCCTTTTTCCAGACAACAATGCTCTGGCTAAAGGGAGTCTCACCTTCCACATCACCACCTCTGACACCAACCAACCAAGTGCAAAAGCTGTGCCTAGAAGAGCTGCTCCCATTCGGGGTGTATGGCACAGGAGTGCACATGCATACCTATGAGACTGAACAATTTCTGGAGGCTGTGCCGTGCCCTTCCAAGTACCCAAAACTGGCAGCTTGGAACTCTGAGTGTAACACAGCTGGGCTGGTCATATTTGCCAAGTTTCCTTCAGAATTAAAACTCAGCACTTCAGTGATCATCTCTCCAGAAGGGGTTCCTAAAAGTTCTGAAAGTTTTAGACAATGACTTGGCATCTCTCCTTCCAGAAGACCAGATCTGAAGATCAAGGCATCTCCTAGGTGCCATTTCTACATAGCAGCAAGCTGACCCTGGCTGACTGCAACCTGTTGCCAAAACTGTTAAGATTAGGAGGACTCTTAATGAGATGGACATAACCTTTTTTATGGCGTGGCATGTGGTGGTTTGGAGATTAGGTGTGCCTGAAAAGCTCATTTGAGTTAATGGAGGAATGTTCAGAGGTGAATGATGTGAAGTATTTGAACAATACTTTGGCAGCTGCAGCCGCCAAAGTGGGCCTGGCTGGTGCAGAGGGTGCACCATGCTGGAAGCTCCCTTGCTCTCTTGCTCCTTCCCTCTGTCGCCCATGTTCAGGTACTCTCTCCCTGCTGCCCTCACTAAAAAGCAACAGATCCACCCACCTGCCCTTAGCCTTCATTCTGCCCAGGTTGCAATGATCTCCAGAACTGGCTTTCTAGGAATGGAGGGGCACCTGGTGGTAGGAGGTGGTGGAGCTCAAAGTTCCCATAACCCGCCCAGCTGCTTTGGATGCTCCACTGCCCTCATGTGTCCACAGTGGCCACTCCCTAGGGCTGCTGGGAACCCAGGCAAATTCACTGACTGGGCCAACTTTCAGCGGGGCCAGGACCTGGAGGAGCAGGATGGGAGGGCAATGCCGCTGGGGCTGGTGCTACCCGTGTTGGTCCTCGCGTCCTCCTAGTGCTCGCCAGCCCTCCAGCCCTCCCAGGTTCGCTGCACCTGCAGAGTCCACAGTGGGCTGGCGCCAGGAGGCAGGGTGTTCTGGCACTAGGCCTGCCTGGTGCGACCAACTGCAGGCAGCGCCGCCTAGCGGTACTGCAGGGTGCTGGCAGGTTAGTGACAGCTGGGTCCAGGGCCCTGGAAGGAGCAGGAGTGCCCAGAGGGCACATTAGACAGGGCACCAGCAGAACCACTCTGCAATTGCAGGGGCTGAAGGAGTTGGGGCCGCTTGTGTTGAAAAGAACATGCCCTCAAGGGGTTCGGTCCCAAGGTCTCCCCTCCTAACGTGACCACTGAGCTGCCGCTTGTGTTGGATCTTCCTGGGATGCCACCAGGTCAGGAAGCCCCTAGGATGACTGGCACGTGGTGACGTCATTGGGCTGTCAGTCCGCCTGTCCTGTGACACCCGCAAGTATCTGAAGAGCAGCCAGGATGGCATACCAGCCACCAAGGGGACCCCTTGGCACGCAAAGCCCAGAAAGTCCCATGGAGAACACAAACCAGTGCACTCTTCTGCCAGAGCCTAGGATTTCCAGGCCTTTGACTCCGAAGTGGATGGATGTGAGACACTTCCTTTCTGTGTGCCGGACTTTCCCCTGCTCTGCAGTCATTTCACGGGAGTATTGTTCAAATACTTCAGCACTTCCTTCACAAGAATTGAAACTAGGGTGAGATGATTTTTGAGTGGAGTGCATTGATTTCATGCCTTGATCATTCTGTCAGCTACTTCCCTCTGCCACACTCTTCTGCCATGATGTTCTGCCTCACCTGAGGTTCCAAAGAATGGAGCCTGCTCTCTATGGACTGAGACCTCTGAACTCATGAGCCCCCAAATAAACTTTGCTCCCCTAAGATAATTCTGATCAGATTGGGTCTTCACTGTAGTGAAAAAGCTGACAAATCTAGGCTTCACTAGTATTGTTACTCATTTTTAACTTCCAGTTTTGGTAAGCTCAATTTAATACTAAAGAAAAAAATTATAGAAAAATTTACCAAATAAGAAAGTATTTATCACTCTTTTGATAACTGTCCCTTTATGATGATACAAATTTCCTAGGAGAATTATTATATGGTTATTGAAAACTGGGCACACTTAGAATAATGACTTGGCTTTAAACAATCAAAGGAATTCTGGCCCTTGTCAAATATTTGAAAATCCCCCGAACAGGCACAGACTCCACAGGTAGGGAGACAGACAATCACAGGAAGGACTGCATCTTCCTTCCCTGGAAAGATGAACTTTCATAGAAATATTTCAATGATTGTTCATGTCTGTAGATAAAATGAAAATCTTATGAACTGAAAGATATGTGGATCCTTTGCATGTACTTCCTGGAGTTTATTGATTTGTATTTCTGGTATGAATATTTCCTACTCTAGGGTAGCATTGGGCAAGTCTGAATCCAAATAAGAGGGAATGCCAGGTAACAAAGTAACACAGGACAGTGAATATTAATACAAAACATATCAAGTGAAAAGAAGTCCTCTTCATATGGCATCACAGTTGCAAATTTGTCTTCGTTCTAGAAGAACTACCGCTGTTCTTCATCTTAATGAAGGCAGTTGTGGAATTCACTAATTTTTTATAGTCTTCTCTGAAATTCTCTATATGAAGCTTTAATAATTATTTAATAAGTAAGTTCATTTAATTATTAATTAATGATTAAATTTGATAATTATTTTTATGTCCTATCTTTCTTTTCTGAGTTCATGAAAAGAATTTCACAAAAATCTCCAGAACTTTCTCCAGGATTTCCATTTGACAACATAATAGTGAATATTGAAGTACATAGAGTTGAAGACACCTATGAGTAGGAAACTGTCACCATGGTATTTACTTTCTCTCCCCTAGGAACAGGGCTTCATGATTAACTGCACTCAGTGAAGGGTAGCTTTGTTTGGTTGGGATGTTGAAGACTCTCCAGGCACATATGTTACAGGCTTGATCAACAGGGCAGTGTGATTTGGAGGCGGTGCAAGTCTGGAGAGGTCAGGGTAATGGGAAGTTCTCAGGTCACTGTTCATTTCCCCCAGAGGAGATTGTAGGCCCGGCCTGTGCTCCAGGGCTTCCTAGCTCATGAGGAGAGCAGCTTGCTCTGCCATGTGCTTACATCATGTTGTGCTTCCCTTTCTACAGGAGCAAAACAAAGGATCCTTAGTGCTTGGGTTAGAAGATCATAAGATAAACATTTTGTCTTCATATGTCAGTTGCCTCAGGTATTTCATTCAAATGATGAAAAGCTGACTCATAGAATGGTTGATTTCTGATTTGGAAGTTAGGCGAAGGTCCTATTCTTCCAGAAAAGTCTTCCCTCTTACATCTTCTCCCAGAAAAGCAACATTAGCACATGTGTGATCTGCTCTTCACTGCAATCAAGAAGGAATGGCTCAGAACTTGCGAGAGCCTTATATTCTATGGAAGTTAATGTCTTTTCTGTTATGATTTTTGCTTCAGAATCTTCTGCCTGTACTTCTTGCTGATGGTATATTGAAGCTGATGACGCTACTGGTATTTGTCAGAGGCAAATCAATACCGACTTCTTTCAGTGTCTGTGAAATAAATACCATCCTCTCATTCCCGACTCCTTTCTGGATTCAGGGCTCCACAGAAAAATGTTGAGCTCTCCCCATTTTTAATATCCAACTTTAGAAACGTCTACATTTCCACTCCTCTATCAAGGCTGATGTGTGAAATCGACGGGAAGCCATGGTTGAGCCTGATGATCAGGTTCCTACAGGTCACTTGTTGCGCTCATGCCACAGACCTTTGTGAAGCATCTTTTTGGCAGGGGCTGTGACACTCTGGTGCAATCTCTTCACCCAGGGGTTGCCCCAAGAACCCCCGGCATTGTCTCAGAGGGCTTTATGTCTGAGAGCCAAGAGGCAGGCCAAGAGGAAGAACCCTCAGGTTCAGCCCTACTGACTAGATATTTCTGCCTCTGCAGGACAATTGAAAGGACTGTTGGACTTTCAGGCCCAAAGTATTTGTGGACTGGACCTGGTGCCTGGCAGCAGCAGCAGCAGCAGCTACTGCTGAAGGTGCTACAGCCGCTGTCGCCATAGTGGGGCGTGGCTGGTGCAGATGGTGCACTGCGCTGGAAGCTCCCTTGCTCTCTTGTTCCTTCCCTCTGACACCCATGTTCAGGGACTCCCTCCCTTGCTGCCCTCCCTAGAAAACAAGGGGCCCACCTGCACCTGCCCTTAACCTACATTCTGCCCGGGGTGCAGCGATCTCAATCTCCTAGATTGGTTTTCTAGGAACGGAAGGGCAGCCAGACAGAGTTAGTGGCATGTTCTTGAGCTCCAAGATCCCCCAACCTGCCGAGCTGCCTTGGATGCACAATTGCCCTCAGCTGTCCCCAGCAGCGGCTCCCTGGGGCCGCCAGGAACCTAAGACAGTTCGCTGACTGGGCCAACTGTCAGTGGAGTCAGGCCCTGGAGGAACAGGACAGGAGAGCAAGGCTGCTGGAGCTGGTGCTACCTGGGATGATCCTTGCGTCCTCCTGGTGCTCACCAGCCCTCCAGCCCTCCCAGGTTCGCTGCACCTGTGGAGCCCCCAGTGCTGGCTCTGGGATAAGGGTTTGCAGGGCGCTCTGCCTGCCTGGTGCGACTAACCGCGGATGGCGCCGCCTAGCGGTACTGCAGGGTCGTGCCAGCAGGCCAGTGACAGCTGCTGGGTCCAGGGCACTGGAAGGAGCAGGATTGCCCTGAGGGCACCTTGGACAGGCCACCAGGAGAACCATGCTCCACTTCCAGGGGCTGAAGAAGTTGGGGCCGCATGCGTTGAAAAGAACATGCCTTCTTGGGGTTCCGTGCCAAGGTCTCCCCTCCTAACATGACCGCTGAGCTGCTGCTTGGGTTGGATCTTCCTGGGATGCCGCCAGGAATGAAAGCTCCTCTGCTGACCCGTGCACGCTGACGTCAATACGCGGGCAGTCCACCTGTCCCTGACACTGGAAGATATTTGGAGAGCGGCCAGGAGGGCACAGCAGCACCAAGCGGGACCCTTGGTGCGCAAGGCCCAGAGAGACCCACAGGGGACACAAACAAGTGCAATCTCCTACCAGAACCTAGAATCTCCAGGCCTTTGACTTGGAAGTGGATGGATGCTGGAGGCTTCCACTCTGAGTGCCGGACTTTCCCCTGCTCTGCAGTCATTTCCCCGCAGCATGGGTTTACACACCCAGGCATTTTCCTGACAAGAATCCAAACCAGGGTGAGAGGATTTTGGAGTGGAGTGCATGTTGAGAGGTTTGGGGACAGTGAATATCTGCAAAGTCCATGTCCTTGGCATGATCCCTTGTATGGGTTGCAGAAAATTGGATCATCTGAAGGGATCAAAGTTCAGTAAGCCTTTTTGTTGTTCTTTTCTTTTCTTTCTTTTTTTTTTCTGTTACCACGTATGGTATCCAGGGTTAGCTGTCCACCGAGGGTGGGCTATTATCTGCCTCTTCTTGAGGAAGAAAGGATACTCACAATTATTCCAGGGCATGAAATCAAAGGAGAACCTGCACCTGTATTTGCTCTGTAGTACCTTTCTGAGGCAGGCCCTGGCTGAATATCAAATTAGGTGGCCTAATACTGGTTGTTCAGCAGGCAAGTCAAATTCCATGGGAGCTGGGCCACCCAGAGTTGATGACAAAAGAGAGCTGGTCCTTGGATCTGCCTTTTCTCCCTTTCCTCTGTTTAGCATTTGTACCATTTGATGTTTCTTTGAGAAAATTAGGAAGAGATGGTGCAGGAATATCTTAGTTGTTCTCATTTGACTGAGTGGCCATGGCAGGTATTGACAAAGGTGGCTTCTTTGTAGCATATTCATCCAGTCACAACTCTTGGGATACATCCTTAGAGCCTTTTGTGGTTCTGTTGGATATTTTCCAACCATGCTGTGTAGTGTTGGGTGGAGGAGGCTGTTTTCTCTTCTTGTTAATATTCCTTTGAATCTTTGGATAGTAGAAGTTAATAGGGTGTCAAGAGCCTTCACCCAATCTGTGAACTCCTCACCTGCTGGGATCAGTTGGCTGGTAACTGAAGGCAGGTGGGGTTCAGGTGGAGAGGGTCTGTCTTGGGGGTCAAGGCTGTGGGCTGTGTACCTGTAGGTGGAAAGTGGAAATCTCTTTCTTGGCTTCTTGATGATCATGTCAGCTACTTCCCTCTGCCACACTCTCCTGCCATGATGTTCAGCCTCTTCTGAGGTTGCAAAGAATGGAGTCTGCTCTCAATGGCCTGAGACCTCTGAACGTGTGAGCCCCCAAAGAAACTTTTTTCCTCCCCTTAAATCGTTCTGATCAGATCTTGTCTTCAGAGCAGCAAAGAGCTGACTACTCTAGGCTTTAGTGGCATTGTTTCTCATTTTTAACTGACAGTTCAGGTAAGTTCCACTTGATATAAAAGAGAATCAAAATCATAGAAAAATTTACCAATGAATAAAGAATCTATCACTTCACACTCTTTTCATAACTGTCCCTTTATGCTGATACAAATTTCCTAGGAGTATCCTTGCATGGTTAAGGAGAACAGGGCACAATTCCTATAAGGCCTTTGCTTTGAACAATCATGGGAATTTGGGCCCTTGTCAAATATTTGAAAAGCCCCTGAACACATCCAGACTCCACAGCCAGGGAGACAGACAGAATGAGAGGAAGGACTGCATCTTCCTTTCCTGGAAACTGGAAATTTCCTAGAGATGGTTCAACAGTTTTTAGTGTCTACAGATAAAATGAGAATCTTATGAACTGAAAGATATCTGTATCACTTATATATCCTAACTGGGGTTTAGTAATCTGTCTTTCTGGTATGAATATGGCCTATTGCAGGGTAGCCCTGGGCAAGTCTGAATCCAAATAAGAGGGAATGCCAGAAAACCAAACAACACAGGTCAGTGAATATTCATACAAAATATATCAAGTGGAAAGAAGCCCTCTCTCAATTACATCCCAGTGGCGAATTTGTCTTAGTGCTAGAAATACTATGGCCACTCTTCATCTTCACAAAGGCAGTTTTGGAATGAAGTCATTTTTTATAGACTTCTCAATACTTCCCTTTATGAAACTTCAATAATTATTTAATAATTAAATTTATTATTTATTAACGAATGATTAAATTTTAGTAATTATTTTTATTTCCTATCTTTCCTTTCTGAGTTAATGAAAACCATTCAACAAAATCTCCATAACTTTCTCCAGGATTTCCATTTGACCACATAATAGTGAATATTGAAATACGCATAGTTGCAGACACCTATTCATAGGAAACTGTCACAGCAGTATGGACTTTCTCTCCCCTGGGAACAGAGCTTACATGATTCACTGCACTTAGTGAAGGGTATCTATGGTTGAGATGTTGAAGATTCTCAAGGCAACCTATGTTCAAGGCTTGGTCCACAGGGCAAGGTGATTGGGAGGCTGTGCAAGTTTTGAGAGGCCAGAGTAATGGGAAGTTCTCAGGTCAAGCTGGCAAAGAGCTCTCTGCAAGAGGCAAAACTGTGGCCAATTGCTAGAAAACAGTTTTGGGGGGATGTTTCTGTGGGTATCTGCCCTGCTTCTGAGAGCTTAATAACATAGGGACCTCCTACAAGTCAATAGGGAGAAACAAAGAGCCTACAAAAGTGGTAAAACCCAGTATCTGCTGTTTATAAAAGATGACATACCAAAAATTTAGTAATCCAAATCACAGTAGAGGAATCCAAAGGAAACATAAAGTACATGTGTGTGTTTTCCTATCAAATACAAGGAATCAAGATAGTGAGAAAATCTAATGTTAACCGTGTTGGAAAATGGAATTTTCAAGTTCTGATAATTGCAATACAAATTGTCATACCTATTCTGCAGAGAAGTTTCAGAAAATATGCCAAAATTTAAAGTGCATGCCTATCTTTACCCCAAGAATTTCAATTTAAATAAGTCATTCATTGTTACTGTGGCAAAGTTTTTTATTATACCCTGATGTGGTCCATTGCAATCATGTTATATGATTTTTATATATTTTTAAAGGTTATTTGGGGGGGCAATGGGGGATGTATTTGGACCCAATTCCTTTATTTTATTTATTTATTTTGATGTGGTGCTGAGGATCAAACCCAGAGCCTCTCCTATGCTAGCCAAGCACTCTACCACTGAGCTACAACCCTATCCCCTCTGGTCTTTTATTTCTTAAAAATACATTTACATATCTGTAAACATATTCCTGTGTCATTATATCTCAGACACTTTTTTTTAGGAAGTTACCACGTGGGCTGGGACTGCAGCTCAGCCGAAGCACATTTGTCTGGCAGGTCCAAGGCCCTGTGTTCCTTTCTGAGCACCTTTGATAAATAAATAAAATAAAGATCTATCAACAACTAAGAAAAAAAATCTTTAAAAAAAAGAATATATGTGGTATTTTAAAAACAGAATTAACACAGTTGCAGTTGTACAAGTTCACGATATGAGACATTTAACATGTTAACTTTTTAAAAAGGAGTATGGTTCTATGGCACCAAAGAGAATCTCATTATGATACAGCCATCACTATCATTTGTCCATCCCCAGGACTTTTCTACTCACAAATTCAACCTGTCCTCATTAAATACTCTCTTGCCACTTTTCCCTGTAACTCATCCCAGTAAGCACCGTTCTACTTCCTGTCTGTATGAATTGGATTATTTCAAAGATTTATTTTAACACCACCAAACTACAAGAGCAATGTGTGCTGGTGTATGTGTGGACATGTCCACACACACTACACTTCCATATACATACAAAACTCGCATTAGTGACCAACTTTGCCTTCTTGCTTTCCACATTGAGGTTTAGAAATCCTCCTCCATTGTGTAAACATTCATTTATTTTGTTCCTGGACTTTGATGATTTATACATTTAGTGTATCAGAGCATCTGGAGTTTTTTTTGGATGGAAAGATTGAGATAGGGATTGGATTTCATGTTCTTAACTACATCATTAGGCATCTTCACAATGTTCCCACTACCTTTTACAGAATCATATGCCTTTCTCCAAAAAATAGAAATGTGACCTTTGTGACATTATCAAGTGTTTTATCTATGCAAGTCTTTCCTGATCTCTCTTTTGAGTTCTGTCACTCAGTTCCCAGTTGCCACCCTTCAGAGTTTACAATTCACTGTGTGAAGAATACCTCTTGTGCTAAATCCCTGACTTCTTTTATTTTTCCAAAATGGTACTTTGGGGTTGGGCATGATGGCCTATGCCTATAATCCCAGTGGCTTGGGGGATTGAGGCAGGAGGATTGCAAGTTCACACCAAGCCTCAGGAACTGTGAGGCACTAAGCAACTCAGTGAGACAAGACCCTGTCTCCAAATAAAATACAAAATAGGGCTTGGGATATGGCTCAGTGGTTGAGTGCCTCTGAATTTCCATCCCTGGTACCAAATAAAAAATTTAAATACACACACACACATACACCCACCCACCCACACACACACACACACACACACATCTCACACATGTATACTGTTGTGACCTAATTTTGCAACATGACCTTATACCTTGTTTTCTCTCATGATACCTTCGGGAAGTAAGATTTTATAGAAATTGAAATGAGGAAAGTAGATAGCTGGTCAACACTGGCCTCTCTCTGAAAGAATACACTTTACCTATTAGGATATGATTCTTTATTTTCATAGTTTTATTTACTTAGAGCTCAAAGATTTAGGAGCACAATATCTGAATGCTGCATATAGCTATTTGAATGTATTTCAGTGGGATCTTCCTCTCTGGGTTCAACCACATGATTTATTTTTATTTTATTGGGGATGGAGCCCTGGGGTGCTTAACCACCAAGCCCCATCCCTAGCCCTTTTTTTTTTTTTTTGTATTTTATTTCGAGTCAGAGCCTCACTGAATTGCTAATGGACTTGCTAAGTTGCTGATGCTGGCTTTGAACACATAATACTTCTGCTTCAGCCTCCATGTGACAGGACACCAGGTTCAAGCCCTTTATTCTTAACACACAAGACAAATGAATTTGTGCATCCACATGCTGCTGTCATCATTGTCTTCTTTCCAGAATCAACACCAATCTGGTGGAGCGAGCTTTTCCTAAATATTCTGCCTTTGGTTAACCACCTAGGGTTCGTTACTGTCCTCCTGTTCACAGGGTTTTTGGCTGGCGGACTGAGCCCGAGCATACCTGTGGGCTTCTGCGTACCATCACAGCATCCCTGGTTTCCGGAGTGTGTTCATGATCTGCTGATTCTCTGTCCTGACCCCTAGCTGGAATGTCAAGTTTGGTCGTGCTGGTTGCAACAGCCTTGTCATTCTTCCTGTGCTGAGGAGTCCTCAGGGATATCCAACAGAGGAAAACTGTTTTCACTCATCAGCAAACATCCTTGGGAGCTCAAGATCCGCCCAGACCTCCCAGGATGACATGAGGCGGCAGAGGGTAGTCAAAGGTAGCTCCTGCCTCAGGCTGAGCCCTGCTGGGGCTCCTGATGGGTCCAGGAATGACTCCGCCCCCTGTAAGTGGCCCACCAGAGCTCAGGATCAGCTCTGCACTGACTCCGCCTACTTTACCTGAGCTCAGGCTCCTACCTGATCAGCCAGGTCCTGCTGCGCAGAAGCCTGGGCAAGGGTAAGCACAGTTCCATCCCACCACCAGGGGACCCCGTGCAGATCAGGCCCAGGCCTGATCCGCCCTGCTGAACTACAGGCCAGCTTGGGCAGAGGGTAGTCACAGGGCCATCCCGCCTCAGGCTGACCCCTGCTGGAACTCCGCCTCAGCCCAGGAATGACTCCGCCCACTGTCAGTGGCCCGCCAGAGCTCAGGCTCCGCCCTGCACTGACTCTGCCTACTGGAAGACACCTGCTAGAGTTCAGCCCCAGCCCAGGTCAGCCTCTCTGTCAGGCATGGGAGCCTGGCCCAAGGTAGGCCTGGCTCCATCCTGCCACAGGCTGACCCCCAACAGAGCTCAGGCCAGACCCACGACCACCTCTGCCCACAGGGAATACCTTCCGGAGCTCAGGCTCCTGCCAGATCAGCCAAGCCAGCTGCTCAGGAGCCTGGGCAAGGGTAAGCCAAATTCCATCCGGCCACCTGGAGACCCTTGCGCAGGTCAGGCCCAGGCCTGATCCGCCCAGCTGAACTGCAGGGAGCTCGTTCTCAGGGTAAGCCCGGGTCCATCCCACCACTGGCTGACCTCTTCTGGAGCTCACCGCTCTGCCCTGATCAGCCTCTTCCACCTGCGTGGGAGTTCTAGAGGGGCCTTGATCCATGCAGCCACCTGCTCACCCCTGCCAGAGCTGAGACTCCAGCCAGATTCACTTTGCCAGAATTGCAAGGGAGCCTGGGCAAAGGGTAGGTCAGAGTTCATCCTGCCCCCGCCAGATTGCTGCTGTAGCTTCCGCTTGGCTCAGGAAGGCCTCGCCGACCCGCCTGGCCACCATGCCCAGGGTACACCACCTTCCATCCAGCCACCGGCTGACCCCTGCAGCAACTGAAGCTCTGCCCAAGAGCCGGGCCCTAGGGAAGGCCCAGGTTCTACCTGCCACCTGCTGAAGTCTGTAGGTCCATTTTACCAAATTCTTAACAATGACCAATTCTCCCATTCACATTGGATGGAGACTAGGGATCTGTACAAGAAAACAGAAATGTTTAGAAAGAAGGGTTCTTCAATCCTTTGTCATGTTAGAAAGGCAGTTAGACCAAGACAAGATGATTCTGGCAGAAGGAAGTTAATCGCCATATTTTCTTGATATACAATGCACCATTTGGTAGGATCCTCAAATTCAATGTCGTGATCTTTCTTTCTTTTTCGGTTTTTCTTTCTTTGTTCTCTTCTTCTGCTGCTCTTCCTTCCTTTCTCAAAATTTTAAAGTTTTAAATAAAGGATGCTTCTTAAAATCAGAAGTCTCTTTAAATCTAAGACATAGAGCATTCTTTTCACAGTGAGTTGCTTTTTTTTTCTTTCTGTTTTTTCTCAGTATGGACATCGAACCCAGGACCTTGCTTATCTCAGGCAAGTGCTCTACCACCAAGCTATATCCTTAGTCCTGACACTAAAATTTTTTAAGAATAATAACCGGGCTGGGGATGTGGCTCAAGCGGTAGCGTGTTTGCCTCGCGTGCGTGCTGCCCAGGTTCGATCCTCAGCACCACATACAAACAGAGATGTTGTGTCCGCCGAAAACTAAAACATAAATATTAAAAGAAAATTCTTTCTTTCTCACTCTCTCTCTCACTCTCTCTTTTAAAAAAAAAAGAATAATGACCAATTATGTTATAGAAAGTTCTGCAACTTCTTTTCTGTTTCCTCCTAATAGATTCAAAATTTGGGGGTAGGTATGCCGGAAATTGAACCCAGGGCTCTGTGCATGCAAGGCAAGCACTCTACCACTGAGCTACCTCTATCTCCAACCCCCTAACTTCAAGTATTTCATCCCTAGTCAGAATACTATAAAAGTAATATTTTATCTTTCTCAGGGTATCATCTCTGAGGTATGGGAGTTCCATTTGCCCTTCATTGATAACGTTATTTCTTTAAAAATTGTGATAAACACATACTATAAAATTTATGCATTTAGAGTGTACAACTCAATGATTTTTTTACAAAATTCACAGAGTTGGGCAACTATCATCACAATAAAACTTTTGAATATTTTCATCCCCTCCCCCCAAAACATACCCATTAGTATTTACTCCTCATCCACCTATAGCCATCCCCCTGCTTTAACCACCAACCCTTAACAACCGCCAATCTGCTTTGTCTCCACAGATTTACCTATTCTAGATATTTCATATAAATTGAATCATACAATATGTAGTCTTTTATGACTGGCTTCTTTCATTTAGCATAATGTTTTCAAGGTTCATTTGTGTTGTAACATGTAATTTCTTTTTACAGCTGAATAATAGGCCATTGTATGGATATGCCAAACTCTATTTATTTATTTATCATTGATGGAAATTTATGTTGTTTCAGTTTTGAGCCATTATTAATAATGCTTCTATGGACATTCATCTACAAGTTTTTATGTGGACATGTTTTCATTTCTCTTGGGTATATACTCAGGAATGAAATTCTTTCTATCAGTATTTGATCACATAGCCCTATGTTTAAATTTTTGAGAAACCGACAAACTTTTTCAAAGTGTCTACACCATTTTACATTTCCAACAATAATGTATGAGGGTTGTAATTTCTCCATGACATCACTGACATTTGTCCATCCTTTTATTAGAGACATCCTAGTAAGTTATAAATCAGACTCTTACTGTAGTTTGGATTTCCTAAATGAGCAATGTTGGTGAGCCTCTTTCCATGTGCTTATGTATGTGTGATTTGTATATCTTCTTTAGAAAAAAAAAGCTATTTGAATCCTTTGCCCAGTTTAAATTGACATACATATTCTTTTAATTAGGATTTAATCTCAGTGGTAGAGAAGGTTGTATATATATATATATATATATATATACTATATATATATACATATATATGCACATATATGTACAAAAAAAGTTTCATTGTTAACCTCTTACAGTTAGGCCTTTGAACCATTGTGTTATTTGCATGTGCATGTGTTTATAGTAAAAATAATAATAAGAATATAACTTCATTCTTTTGCATGTGGGTGTTTAGTTTTCTACCCCAATTTGTTGAAAGATTATTCTTTCTCCCTTATATTGTTTTGGAACTCTTGTTCAAAACCAATTGACTATAAAAGTAAGAATTTATTTCTGGACTTTCAGTTCTATTTCATGAATCTATATGTTTACATGTATTTCCAGTATTGCACCATCTTGTTTACTGAGGCTTTGTAATATATTTTGTTGTTGGAAATTGCTGAGTTTTCTGAATTTGGTCTTTTTTGAGATTGTTCTGTTTCTTCTGGGTCCCTTGAGGTCTGTGTGAATTTTAAGGTTAGTTTGCCAATTTCTGCAAAAAAAAAGTAGTTGGAATTTTGATAGGGATTGAATTGAGTCTGCAGACCCATTTGGGGAGTATTACCATCTTACCAGTATGAAATCTTTTCATCTGTGAGCATGGGAGTCTTCATTTACTGAGTCCTAACATGTTTCTTTCAGTAATCTGTTACAGATTTCAGTGTACAAATCTTGCACTTTTTTTGTTAAATTTATACTCAAGTATTTTATTCTTTTTTATGCCATGATAATGGAATTGATTTCCTAATTTCATTTTTGGAAAGTTCAGTACTAATGCAAAAAATGCAATTGATTTTGCACATCGATCTTATATCCAGCAAACTTGCTTATTACCTCTAATGGTTTTTAATGGATTTCTTAGGATTTTCTACACACAAGATCTTGTCATCCATAAATACACAGGTTTTGGGGTTTTTTGGTTTGTTTTTTTTGTTTGTTTTTTTTTACTTCTTTTCCAACTGGGATGACTTTTGTTTCTTTGTCCTGCCTAATTGCCTTGGCTAGAAACTTTGTTACAGTGTTAAAAAGAACTAGTGAGAACAGACATCTTTGTCTTATTCCTAATCTCAGAGGAAAACATTCAGTCTTTCACCACTAAGTATTACAACTGTGAGGTTTTATCAACCCTCTTTAACAGGTTGAAGAAATTCCTTTCTATTCTTATTTTGTTTAACATTTTCATCATGAAAAGACATCATATTTGCCAAATGCTTTGTTGGCATCTATGGGGATTAATCAAATTAATTTTGCCCTTAATTTATAATATTACACTAATTGGTTTTCAGATCTTAAACCAACCTGGCATTCCAAGAATAATGTCCATTTTGTAATAGTGTATGATCCTTTTATGTGTTGCTATAGTCAGTTTGCTAATATTTTGATGAGAATTTTTATATCTATATTCATAAGGGCTATTGGTTAGTAGGGATTTTTTTGTAGTTTTTGTGATTTTGTTTGTTTGCTTGCTTATTTGTTTTCCTTGTGGTATCTTTGAATGAATTGAGAAGTATAACCTACTCTTCTATTTTTCAGAAAAGCTTATGAATGGTTAGTATAATTCTTTAATTCTTTAAGCATTTGTCAAAATTTACCAAATGAAGTAATCTGGACCTGAGCTTTTCTTTGTGTGAGATTTTTAAATTACTAATTCAGTCTCCTCAGGCATTACAGTCCTGTTCAGACTTTCTAATTTTGTGAGGGGAGGGTCATTTTGAGTACTTTGCATCATACTAGTAATTTGTCCTTTTCATCTGAGTTACTTAATCTGTTGACATGCAGTTGTTCATAGTGTTTTCTTTTCATCCTTCCCACCCACCCCAGCCTAAATTAGAGTGGTTTCCTCTTTTTCAGTCTTGATTTTATAGTTTTGAGTCTTCAATTTTGTTTTCATCCCTCAGTCTAGCTAAAGATTTATCAGTTTTTCTAGTTGTGTGTGTGTGTGTATGTGTCTGTGTGTATGTGAAAGAGAGGAAGAGTGTGTGTATGTGTTGTTGTTGTTGTTGTTGTTCTTTTTGTTTTTGAAGTGGTAGGGATTGAACTCCAGGGCCTCTTGTATGCTAGGCAAGTGCTCTATGACTGAGCTACATCCCCAAGCCCTTTTTTTCCCCTAGTTCTTAAGGTAGAAAATTAAGTTGTTGATTTGAGATCTTTCTTTAATAAAAAATATAGATGTTTAGTTGGTGAAGTTAACATTGGTCACCTGATCAACTTATTCTCTGGTTTCATGACCATAGAGTTATTATGTTTCTAGGTACTCCAGGATTGAAACCCTCAGGCACACATTCCTTCCCTCCAAAGGTATAATGTTATTAGGATATTTCAGCTGTATTGAGCCGGGCTAGCTGAAGGCCTCCGTCAGGAAAAGATTCTGAGTGTCCCCAGGCAGTCACTTAGAAAAGGAATCTGAATCCAAACCTAGACTAGATGACCAGGGTGGCAGTGTAACCAGGGGCACTGTAATGCAGGGGAGGTTAGACATACCTCTGACCCAGCCATCCAACCCTTGTGGGTAAGTGTGAGGAACTAAGGCAGAATGTTTGAATATGAACTAAAGATCCTCAGGTAGGGAGTGAGTTTTTCAATCATGGAAATGGGGATTATTTCCATGACATTGTCTCCTATAAGTTAGATTACTTTGAATATTGAAAAGATATGGTTTTATATATGCTTTGAACCGAGGAAGCTAGTTATACCAATGGCACTATTTTTGTGTTTTGTTTAAATTATGACTACCTTTATGGATTACTTTATTTTTTTTTTGGTGTTGAGAATTGAACTCAGGGCCTTGACCATGCTAGCATGCTAAGCACACAATCTACCCCTGAGCTGTACCCCCTTTCCCTCAGTGATTTACTTTTGTGCCATGTGGCACACCCAGAGAAAGATTAGTTTCTGAAGGTAAGATAGAATTCTGAAGAGAATTTTGCTTATTTTGTTTTATAGATGTTTGTAATCAGGACTGCCTGATTTGGCTCTCCATACCTAACAGTACCTGAAAGAAGGATTTTAACTTTGTAAAATCAAAGGATTATTTGATGAATCAAATAATCAAATATTTGATAGTCTCCAGATCCATTCATTTACCAGCAAATATTATAAAGTCATTCTTCTTTGTGCTGAGTAATATTCCATTGTGTATATATAACGCATTTTCTTTATCCATTCATCTGTTAATGGGTACCTAGGTTGGTTCCATAGCTTAGCTATTGTGAATTGAGCTTCTGTGAACATTGATGTGGCTATGTCACTGTAGTAGACTGATTTTATCCTGTGGATATATACTAAGGAGTGGGATAACTGGGTCAAATGGTTTTTCCATTCCTAGTTTTTAAAGCAGAGAGTGGCTAACTATTGCCCATTAAGAAATGACAAAGGCCTGTAGGAGAATGTCCAGTAGAGAGAAGTCTAAGCAAACAGATTGAGTGAATATTCAGTGTGCTCTAAAATCCTGATTACCAGGACAAAAGCTGCAATAGCTAATGCACAAGCAGGCTCAATTAAGCCTAATTAGTTCGGAGTCAGGCTACAAAAGACTTAATTAGCAGTTATTAGGTGCTTTTCAGAAAAGGAGCATAAATAATTGTTGGTAGCAAGCTGTGTTTAAGGGTCTCCTGGCTGAGTGACATCAAATTTAAAAAAAAAGGTTAAATCAATGTTCTTCTATTGGGGATTAAATATAAAATAATAATATGGGTCTTGACTTAAATTTCATTTATTCAGAGTTTATCATTGATTTAATTTTTTTCTGGACAACTCAGATGCTTCAGCAAAGTAAATTTAGGTTTAATTTTAATAATGTTATGGTTACGATGTACCTCAGAGAAGAATATATGCTATTGCAATGGCCTGCTGGCTTCCAGGGAATAAATGGAATGGTCTCCTTGAAGATTTTGAATCAGCCTTTGGAGGGTCTCACATTGAAGAGGTACAGGGAGAAAAGGTTGATATACAGAAAGCAGGGAAACTGAGTTGTGAAGAACACAAGACACACACCAGTGTGTGACCTCCATCAACTCCAAATGGCCCACTTGGATCCTGGCTACACATTAAATTCAAGTGAGCTTCTTTTATTCCAGCACAAATCCTTCCTTCTTCCTTGTCCCATTTATCCTCCAACACTTTTTCACAGAAACCAAAAGCGAAAGGGCCTCCTAGGACTTCAGAGTAAAATGATTGTTTTCAAAGAGACCCAAAGATAGTTTAAACAAAAAAAACAGAGATCAAATTAGCTTGACCTACACTCACCACCAAGTTTCTTTCTCTCTGTTCCTTTCTCAAAATAAATATGACCCTCAGAGAGGAAGACTGTTATATTTTTATAATCTTTCTCTTAAGTCTTGTAATATCCTGTACCAAATACATGAGCTTGACATGAATGAGACTACGAATTTATTTTAGAACACTATAGGGTTCTGATGTTTTAATGCATATTTTATTATCTTTATTTAAGATGACTATAAATGTTATCATTCATAAAACTATTTAGCCTTGTCATAAATTATTTCATACAGGAATAGTGTTTGTAGGTTCATCTAAACACAGAAAATGTGTCTTTTAAGATTCCACTGTAACCAACTATTAATTTTATAGAATAACTGTCTTCCTCTTTTGAAAAGTAATAACATCAAAGGACAACTTAGGAAAAGTAGAAGTGTTTTGTATTAGTTTTGTATTGCTAAGTAACAAATTATCACAAATTTAGCTGTTAGAAACTACACCCATTGGCCTCTCAGTTTAAAATCCAAGTGTTGGTCAAGCTAGATTCTTATATAGAGGATCTGGGGAAAATCCTTTTCCACCGTTACTCTGACTGCTTTCAGAATCTATTTCCTTTGGTCTGAGGTATATTATGAAAGAGCTGCTTTCAGATCCCAGAGGCTACCTACATTCCTTCTTAATTGTCTACACCATCTTCAGTGCAGAGATGGCACACCATGTCCTCATTCTTTGGACATCTCTGACTTCTGCCCACCAAACAAAACTCATTGCTTTTTAAAGCCTCACCCAATTAGGTTGGGCACATTTGGATAATCTCCTTCTTGAATACTTAAGGTGAATTATTAGTACACTTAATTATCTCTAAAATCCCATTTTCCATATGACATATTTATAGGCATGCTATCTTACTATATTCATAGTTTTAGGAATTACATATTAAATTCCCCTGTATCCACACCTAGGCCTCTGCTGAGGAGAGAGGGTGACATTGGTCAGTGGGCAAGATCAGGAGAGAGAGATCATCAGGGTACCAAAGCCTAAGGGAGTGGCAGATGGAATGTCTGGAAACAATTCCTGGAGACACAAGAAGTATTGGAGAGTGAACTACACTTTAACTGACTGACAGACTCCAGCATGTGATCCTTTGTCCCTTTGGACTATATTTAAAAAAAAAAATTCAAAGATAAAATTATTATTAAGCATTTCAGGATGGCAAGTACAGAATGCTAAACCTCAGTGGAGCTCTTCCTTCTCACTGTAGGGATTTTGAGACTTCAGTGGTGGAATGTCCATAAAGCTGACCCTGAAAATCAGCAGTGTATAAATAAGTATTTGCTATTTTTTTAAAGTAATATTTTGTAAACATCAGACACTTGATGGGCAAAATGCTTAGTTTCTTCAAAATACCTTATCTATTTTATTTTATACAGATTAACCTGAAAGATGGGCCTGACTAGAGTCTCAGATAAAGTCAGAGCATTATAATGGACTGTATATAAGAACTTTATACCATTTACTAAGAATATTTTTTTCTTACAGTGGAAGTAACATTGACATTTTACACTATATAGACAAAACTCCTTTATTTTATTTTACTTTTCTTTCTTTTGTAGCTTTTAATGTTGTTCTGGTATTGTCCTATCTCCCAAAGTAGAAATCTGACTTATTTCACCATCAGTGGAATTAATTAAAAATAAATCAACTTGAACTTACATTCAAATTTTTTGCCTCTTTCGCTTCGCTCCGGGCGGAGAAGCTGAATGTGTAATCAGCAGTGGATTGTAAGTACCCGAGGCAAAGAAAGCTCAGTGCGCCACGCCTTTTTTTTTTTTTTTTGAATAATTTTTATACAGGGAGAGTTTGTGGATTGGGATTGCTGGCGGGGCTGTGGTTTCTGTGCCGAAAATCCACTCCGTGGGAGCCGCCATTTGCTTTCTGCTTGCTGTCTTGATGGCTCTGTATACACTGTCCGGCAGCCGCACCTAGAGGTTGGAGCTGGGCTGCGTGCCGAGCCCTGTCCTCCGAAGGCTGGACTGCAGCCTCGAGCGTCTCTGTGGCCTGTTCGCTGCTGCACCTCCGGGCAGAGCCTGCTCTGGGGTCGTTCTGCACCCCCCTGCCAGGGGACCCGTGCTCCTGAGGAGGGGGACGGAGAGTCGCGGCGGCAGCCGCTTGGGCCCCTGGGGCCTGACACCGGGCTGAAGAGCTGCGGAGGCCAGGGCGGCTCTGCTACGGTCGCAGACAAGCGCGGACGCTCGCCAGGGCGGCTCTGCTACGGTCCCAGACAAGCGCGGACGCTCGTCAGCGCGGCCCAGAGTTTCATTTCTAGAAATCTGGACTGGAAACAGAAGCAGCAGTTTGTATAATCCCAAGAACTTGCTTATACCAGGAAGCTGTAAGGGCAACATGAATATTACTGAGGAGATGTAACATGGTGGCAGGCGCAGAGAGATCAAGTCTCTGACATCTTCAACTGCGTGGGCATAGGGAGCCGTAAACTGTCTAAATGCTGTTTGCTCAGGATCACTAGGCAATGCTGAGCTGACGTGGATCTGGGGTGTACAGGCTGGGCCCCTCAGAACACACACACAGAGCCCGAATCGGAGGCAATTAAGCTCCGGTTCGCCTGCTTCGTGTGACTCAGCACTAACGATCCCGCTGAAATAATTGGCCAGCCCTTAGGAACTTACAGAGGTAAAAGCCAACCGAGCCTTCATAGGCAGTGGCCACAGGACTGAAACGGGGATTGGGAGAGACAGTCAGGACCCACCCGTTGCATTGGTCATCCGGCAAAGGGAACGAACGGTCACCATTTGCATGGGATATCACCATGGCAGAGAAATGGCGTCACGGGCGGAGGAGATAACTGCAGTGAAACCAGCGCGACAGGTGTGTAATCCCCTAGCCATCTCTCTCCACACAGCGGGGAAACCTTAAGGGCCACTCCCAGCTCTCCTGTGAACGCAATAACCAGACCGAGGGAATCAGGAGTGGCGCGGGACTCGCGGCGCGGAACTCCCGGCTACCGCTCCCACCAGTGCTGACAACTGAGGTCTCTTGCACCAGCTACCGGGGGCGTGGCTACAGGAGGGCAAGCAAATTCGCTGGGGGATCTCAGCCCCAAGCTCTACAAACTTAGGGTCTGAGGGAGGCAAACAGGGAGAGTGAGCCCAGGTGTTCATGAAAACAGGGCTCCCAGGAGCAGCAGACCTGGCGTGTAGCCAGTATTGTGGTGAGCGCCACAGGTGAGCACGGCCTGGCTTGAGGAAACACAAGACAAGGCCCTAGACACTCAGGATTGGAGACCCGCCCAGTCTAGGAGAAAGAGCTGCTGCACAGTGAATGGTTCCCACCTATTGAGAGGAGAAGCTTGGCCCAGTGGGCACAGCTCCACCTACTGGAAGAGAAGTTAATAGAACTCTAGGACTGCATTTATTATTATTATTATTATCATTTTTTTTCTTTTCTTTTTCTTTTTTTTTCTTCTTTTTCTTTCATTTTCAATTTTTATTTGTTGTTGTTCTTTAATTTTTTTTTCAATGTTTCTATTTTTTTTAATTTTTTTTAATTTTATTATTATTATTTTTTTTAATTTTAATTTTCATTTTTTATTATCACTATTATTTTTGTTAAAATTTTTTTTTCGTCTTTTCTTTCTTTATTATCTAATCTTTGTTATTCTTGTTTCTTTTGTCTTTTCATTTCTTTTCAATCTTCTTATTCCCCCTTCCTTGAATTCTACCTGCCTACTCTCATTCTCTTTAGTGACTTCTTCCCTTCCCTTCTAATATCTTTCCTCTCAAGCATCAAATAAATCTATAAGAGTAAACAGTAACTCAGCAGTCAAACAGAACAAGAAGTAACATGAGCAGCATAAAAAAGCAAGGAAGAAAAGGAGTACAAACAATGAAGGACAGCCTAAATATTCAGGAGGACCTAGAGTCAGCAGAAAAATGGTCATATAAAGAACTCAAGGAATATCTTAGACAGATGGAATGGAACCTTAAAGAAGATACGAGACAGCAAATCCAAACAGTGAAAGAACACTTTGAAAATGAATTACATAGACAGATAAAAGAAGAAGTTAAGCATCTTTATCAGGAGATTGAGATTATAAAAAAAAACCAAACAATAATTCTAGAAATGAAGGAAACGATAAACCAAATTAAAAACTCAATTGAGAGTATCACTAACAGAGTGGAGCAAGTAGAAGCCAGAACATCAGATAATGAAGACAAAATATATCATCTTGAAAAGAGCCTAGCCAACTCAGAAAGGCTGGTTAAAAACCACGAGAAAAACATCCAAGAGATATGGGATAACATAAAGAAACCAAACCTACGAGTCATCGGGATAGAAGAAGGTACAGAGATTCAAACCAAGGGAATGAGTAACCTGCTGAAAGAAATAATTACAGAAAACTTTCCAGAAATAAAAAAGGAAACGGATATACAAATTGTAGATGCATACAGGACACCGAGCACACAAAATCACAGTATACCAACGCCAAGACACATTGTTATGAAGATATCCAATATACAGAACAAAGAGAAAATACTAAAAGCTACAAGAGAAAGGAGGCAGATTACATTCAGGGGTAAACCAATAAGGTTAACAACGGATTTTTCATCACAGACGCTGAAAGCGAGAAGATCCTGGAACAACGTATTTCAAACACTGAAAGACAATGGATGCCAACCAAGAATTCTGTATCCAGCAAAATTAAGCTTCAGGTATGATAACGAAATAAAAATCTTTCATGATAAACAAAAGCTAAAAGAAGTTGCAGCCAGAAAACCAGCATTGCAAAGCATCTTGAGCAAAACACTGCACAAGGAAGAAATGAAAAACAATAACCAAAACCATCAGTGGGAAGTGCCTCTATAAAGACAGAGGGCGGGGGGAAAGCTAACCATGGAGAAACAAACTAAATTAAAAAAAAAAAAAAGAAGATAAATAATCAAACATGGCTGGAATTACAAACCATATATCAATAGTAACTCTAAACATTAATGGCTTAAACTCTCCAATAAAGCGACATAGGCTGGTAACATGGATTAAAAAAACAAATCCAACAATATGCTGCCTCCAGGAGACACATCTGATTGGAAAAGACATACACAGGCTGAAGGTGAAAGGTTGGGAAAAAATATACCATGCACACGGTCCTCGTAAGCAAGCAGGGGTGGCCATCCTCATACCGAATAAAATTGACTTCAAGACTAAATTAATCAAAAGGGATAAGGAAGGACATTATATACTGTTAAAAGGAACCATTCACCAACAAGACATAACAATTATCAATATTTATGCACCAAATAATGGTGCTGCGACGTTCATAAAACAAATTCTCCTCAAGTTCAAGAATCAAATAGACCACAACACAATAATTATGGGTGACTTCAACACACCTCTCTCACAATTGGACAGATCCTCCAAACAAAAGCTGAATAAAGAAACTATAGAACTCAATATCACAATCAACAACCTAGACTTAACTGACATATATAGAATATATCAACCATCATCAACCATGATTCTATACCTAGAAGACCCAAAAGGGTCTACAAAAAAACTACTAGAACTAATAAATGAATTCAGCAAAGTGGCAGGATATAAAATCAACATGCATAAATCAAAGGCATTTCTGTATATCAGCGACAAAACTTCTGAAACGGAAATGAGGAAAAACACTCCATTCACAATATCCTCAAAAAAAATAAAATACTTGGGAATCAACCTAACAAAAGAGGTGAAAGATTTATATAATGAAAACTACAAAACCCTAAAAAGAGAAGTAGAAGAAGATCTTAGAAGATGGAAAAATATACCCTGTTCATGGATAGGCAGAACTAACATCATCAAAATGGCGATATTACCAAAAGTTCTCTATAGGTTTAATGCAATGCCAATCAAAATCCCAAAGGCATTTCTTGTAGAAATGGATAAAGCAATCATGAAATTCATATGGAAAAATAAAAGACCCAGAATAGCAAAAGCAATTCTAAGCAGGAAGTGTGAATCAGGCGGTATAGCGATACCAGACTTAAAACTATATTACAGAGCAATAGTAACAAAAACAGCATGGTAGTGGTACCAAAACAGGAGGGTGGACCAATGGTACAGAATAGAGGACACAGAGACTAATCCACAAAACTACAACTATCTTATATTTGATAAAGGAGCTAAAAGCATGCAATGGAGGGAGGATAGCATCTTCAACAAATGGTGCTGGGAAAACTGGAAATCAATATGCAACAAAATGAAACTGAATCCCCTCCTCTCGCCATGCACAAAAGTTAACTCAAAGTGGATCAAGGAGCTGGATATCAAATCAGAGACTCTGCGTCTGATAGAAGAAAAAGTTGGCTCCGATCTACATATTGTAGGGTCGGGCTCCAAATTCCTTAATAGGACACCCATAGCACAAAAGTTGATAACAAAAATCAACAAATGGGACTTACTTAAACTGAAAAGTTTTCTCTCAGCAAGAGAAACAATAAAAGAGGTAAATAGGGAGCCTACATCATGGGAACAAATTTTTACTCCTCACACTTCAGATAGAGCCCTAATATCCAGAGTATACAAAGAACTCAAAAAATTAAACAATAAGAAAACAAATAACCCAATCAACAAATGGGCCAAAGACCTGAACAGACACTTCTCAGAGGAGGACATACAATCAATCAACAAGTACATGAAAAAATGCTCACCATCTCTAGCAGTCAGAGAAATGCAAATCAAAACCACCCTAAGATACCATCTCACTCCAGTAAGATTGGCAGCCATTATGAAGTCAAACAACAACAAATGCTGGAGAGGATGTGGGGAAAAGGGTACTCTTGTACATTGCTGGTGGGACTGCAAACTGGTGCGGCCAATCTGGAAAACAGTATGGAGACTCCTGGGAAAGCTGGGAATGGAACCACCATTTGACCCAGCTATTGCCCTTCTTGGACTTTTCCCTGAAGACCTTAAAAGAGCGTACTACAGGGATACTGCTACATCGATGTTCATAGCAGCACAATTCACAATTGCTAGACTGTGGAACCAACCCAGATGCCCTTCAATAGATGAATGGATAAAAAAAATGTGGCATTTATACACCATGGAGTATTACGCAGCACTAAAAAATGACAAAATCATAGAATTTGCAGGGAAATGGATGGCACTAGAGCAGATTATGCTTAGTGAAGCTAGCCAATCCCTAAAAAACAAATACCAAATGTCTTCTTTGATATAATGAGAGCAACTAAGAACAGAGCAGGGAGGAAGAGCAGGAAGAAAAGATTAACATTAAACAGATACATGAGGTGGGATGGAAAGGGAGAGAAAAGGGAAATTGCATGGTAATGGAGGGAGACCCTCATTGTTATACAAAATTACATATAAGAGGTTGTGAGGGGAATGGGAAAATAAACAAGGAGAGATATGAATTACAGTGGATGGGGTAGAGAGAGAAGATGGGAGGGGAGGGAGGGGGGATGGTAGAGGATAGGAAAGGTAGCAGAATACAACAGTTACTAATAGGGCATTATGTAATAATGTGGATGTGTAACCGATGTGATTCTGCAATCTGTATTTGGGGTAAAATTGGGAGTTCATAACCAACTTGAATCTAATGTATGAAATATGATATGTCAAGAGCTTTATAATGTTTTGAACAACCAATAAAAAAAATTAAAAAAAAACAAAAAAAAACAAAAAACAAATTTTTTTAGCTTTACCAAACAATTTAGTTCAAATTCAATTCTATACAGAATAAGTTATAAAAATTGCACATAGTTTTTCCATTTTTTTTCTTTGCTGTCAAAGGTACTATAGATGGTACAGGCTTAATCCCAAGGAAACTAATAAAGTGAATTGTTCACAAAATTACATATTATTTTCCTGTTATGTACAATTCTCTCTGGGCACCCAGTGCTCAGTGATTGACTGATCTGTGAAGCCAGAGTCCTATCTCATTTTGAGCTTTGAGTATTCAACCATCTCTAAATTTTTGACAGACTCTTGAAAGAGTAGAGTGAACGAATCATAAAACCACTCAAAAACTACAACATATGCTTTGTTTTGTGTGGGGAAAAAGTCCCCATCATCCACAAATAGCAGAAGCAAAAAAATAGCGATACAACAAAATTCTTTAAGAGTGGTGAACTGAGATAAAGATGATACATATTGGAGAGAAGAGATGGATCTGTAGTCTTCGCTAATATAAAATAAGGAATCAAAGTACAGTAGTGATAGCAGTCAGTGGGTCTGATTATCTCCAGAGGGGGGCATTAGGATTTTCGGACTCCAGCTGTCAAGCAGCTATAAACTTCTCTGGGCTATCTTTTTGAGTTTTCAGAGTGCAACAGAAGACCTGAGTTTCACCAGAAGACCATGGTATCAATGCAGAGCCAAGCCAGTCCTACTCCTCAGGTGTTAGGAGACTTGCATGAACAAGTCTGGTCATCTTTTCAGATGCATGGTTCTATTCTAAAACATGAAGTACTTGTCAAGAAACCTTTTGAGGCTTCCAAAGTAAGCTGGTTCTGTTTTCAATCCTTGTGAGACAGTTGATTGACACCATTGCATTTAATTCTACTGACATTTGTAGAGTGCTTTATATGGGGAAAACATTACACCAAAGAGTATCATGCAGAAATTAACAACTAGAATTTTCCAGTTGTGTGATCTGGTACAAGTAGCCTAATTTCTAAGCAACAAGGTTCTCATGTGTAACATACTAAGAATAACAATCTAGGTAGTAGTGTATTGTGTGTCTTTCTCTGGAAACAGGCCCCCCAAAAGGACAGAGTCTAATATTTCATTTGTGAGATGATCTCAGGTAACAACGAGGCTAATATGTGAGTTACCAAGAGCAAAAACAGATTTTCAAAGTGTGGTTCATGATTGAACAGCCCCAGCAACACTGGAACACTGGTTAGAAATGCAGAATTTTAGGCCCTACTCTGAGCTAAATGAATCAGAAAGCCTGCACATGGGCCTGGAAATCTGGTCTAACAAGCCCTCATGTGCTTTTGATACACTGAAATTTGATCTAGGGAATTTGGGGAGTCAATTCAGAGAACCTGTTTCAGAGTTATCCTACTAGAGGAAAAGAATTTGCTGGGAGATAGATAGATAGATAGATAGATAGGTAGAGATAGATATATAGATATATACCAACTCCCAGTAGTCATTATTGAAGGCTGCTGGGTTTGGGGGAGGATGTTAAGATAAACATCAATTTTCCTGCACTTTGGCTTGTGGTGCCCTAAGGCATAATGGGATTCCAAAGTAAGCCCTTGGCAAAGAGATGTTGTTCCTGGCAGCTGAAAGTCCTAGGTGCTTTATAATGGTCGGGCCCATTGGCATATGGTTTGGGCATCCACAACTGCTTCTAGGGTGTCTTAAGGATTGTGATAGTGTACTAAAAGACATAATGTAATGACATGAACAAAACCCCATGATATATTAAAGTCTACATGTAATATAAAGATCCATAAGCTGTGATCCCTACTCTCAGAGAGAAGATATGCAAATAGAAGCTAAGCAGAGGGTACTAAATGGCACAAGTGGCATCTGAGATGGGAGGCAGGCTTTTTGATGGCAGGGCTGAAACAAGAGGAGTAAGTGAACTGTAGAGAACACATCATCACCACAACTCAAGTGCTTACTGAATCTGAGCTGCAGAACATCCTTTAACAGGATGGAAGTAACTTCCATGGCTAACAAATTCAATTTGTAAGGATGTGAAGTGTTAGTGTTTCTCTGCCACTCCACATCTCCCATCATGTTTTAGGAAAGAATTAAGCCTTCCTGATTTGAAAAATGCAAAAACATGTTTCAAGAATTCCCATGGATATGCTGCTTTCCCAGGGTTCTATAGAACTGACAGAGTGCCAAATTAATCTTTTTTTTTTGGTAGCAATATTACCATTTTGACATAACTTTTGCACAAGACTCCGTACAATTTTCCCCAATGTTTCCCCTAAGGGAGGACTTTGCCACAGGTAAAAACGCTGGGTCTTTGGGAGTATTTGTTATTTAAGTCAAGTCAAAAGATTAACTGAAAGTAATAGGTCTGGTAGTGACCACAATTTTATCACAAGCTTAAAAATAGTGCTTGTCCCTGACAGGGTGCAGGACATTCTACCCCAAGTTGTGGTACACTGAAACTTGTTTTCTGATTTTCTGTATTTCTGTGTGAGAGCTGGCCATAAAATAATTCTTTGTTCTACCTCCTCTAAAAGTAGGTCATAAGACCCTCATAGGACAGAGTCCATACCCAGCAGAAAGGAGTGAAGACAGAGAGATTCCAAGAAGCACAGGCCTTGCTAACTTACCTCCAGTTTATTAACATTAGATGATGTTCTCTTTTTGTCCAGTAATACTTCTAGATGATTGTCCATTTCTCAACAAGGATAAACCTAAACATGCATAGTTTTTCTTGAGTCTTTGAGTCTTCCATTCTGAAGGCTCCCACATCATAAAATTTCCATCAAATTTGTTATGCTTTTCTTTTGTTAATCTATCTTTTGCTTTAGGGGTTTTAGTTACAAACCTTGAGATGAGTAAGAAAAAGATATTACTTTCCCTCTCCTGTATCCCCAAGGAACCCAGCTCACTGCATAAATTGAATAGAATTTGAGAATTAATTGTAGAGCTCAACTGACAAATCAGAGATTCAGCAGAATGGAGCAGTTACAGTTTATCAGCAATCCTGTAAATATGTGGATCTGGGAAACAGAATACAGTATCTTTCAAACATACTATACATTTGTTCCATTCATTCATTGAATAAATATTTGTTTAAGAATTTCTAATACATGAAGCTAGGTACTGTGGGAGTATAAAAGCAAATTAAGAAGTGACATTTACCTATAAGTATGTTATGATTCAGCTGTACAGGTTGAAGCTAGTATATATACTTTGTGATAAATGGGTACGTAGTACATAAGGCTATGCATTTAGCTTTCTATATATTGAAGAATATATAGGGACATATGGAAAAAAGAGAGAAAAATTTAGTAAAAAAGGTGATTTTAGAGGATCAGGAACTTGACAAATATAAGCTATATTATGCCAAATAAATGAGCCTACCAGGTGTCACAGGGAAAGCCCCAGTGAAGAAAGTAACATGTATTTACTTGGCTCTCTGAACAAGCTGTCATAGTAAGAACTAGAAGGTACAAGTCTTTGCCTCTTTATGTTAAGTAATGCGAGTCAACATTTTGTGAATTTGCTTGGACTGTATTAGGAACTGATCTACTTAATGTACAGTGGAATACCAGTTATAAAATTTTAAGCAGGATACAAATTTTATCCCTTTTTCTTTTATGGACACTCATAAAAATAATCCCTGTGCTGTTAATGAAATTTCTAACTTGACTGAAGTATGCAATATGCAACACTGCCTGCCATGCAAATTTAGTTTTCATATTTACAATAAGACCACTTATAGTCCACATGTAGAGAACACCAATGTGCTACTAAAGCTAGCAAAAGAGTATGAATTATACATAGAGCTCACACTTCTCCTTTAACTCCATTTAATTATATTTAGTCAATGTGGTGATGACGGCAGATGGAGCTAGTGTCACCTGAAGGTTAACAGGGCTGGAAGTTCATCATGGCCTCCTAATTCACATGTCAGTTGCCTCACATGGGATGCCTGCAACAGCTGGGGTTTTCAGGGCATTTTTCTTTTTCCATAAAGTTTCTCTACATGATTAGATATTTTGGGCTCCCTTACAGCATGGAGGTCTCAAGATAGACTTTTTGCATGGTGACTAGTGCTTGCCTTAATACATATTCCAAGAGACCCATGTAGAAACTGCATGGTGTTTTATGACTCCATCTTGAGATAAATAGTGCATCTACACAAGATCTGATTACTGCAAAGCATGGGTTGTTGGAAGGGTCCATCTTCAGAGACTAATGACTACATGTGTCATATATAGTTTACCACAATATGACAATGCCTTGAAATTAATACTTGTGTCAATCAGATGTCAATAAGAATTAATGGTCCCACTTTATTGTACCTAGAATAATAATTTAAAATCTGTACCAGAGTTTATCCACCAGTGTAATAATTATTTAATTAACAAATATAAGTTATCTGCTATGTGTCTGAGACAGTACTGGATCAATTCTGATAGACAAACTGGGTAGATACATGAGGACATGGAAACTCAGAAGAGTTGAATGGAGATGTTGTGGCGTCTCCAAAGGCAGCAGAGACAGGTGCCCACATAGTGCTGTGGCACTGGAAACTCTTGCCAATATAAGAAACAAGACAAAACGAAATGCCAAAATCTTGCATTACATTTTTATAAATAAGACTTAAAATGTAGCTTTGTAGTTTGACTATGAAAAAGTGAGAGATGGATTTGTTATCTTTAGTAAAACAAAAACAAACAAACAAAATATCAAAATCACATGGAGGCCTGGTTAAAAACATACCTCTGGGTCCCATCCCCAGAGTTTTTATTCACTAGGTCTTGGGTGGGGCACAAATATTTATAATTTCTCTTTAATTCCTAGATTTTGTTGATGACTACACTTTGAGATTCACTGCTAAATGGTATTAAAGAAATCCAGGGCCAGACAGAAGTTAAAGGAGTGATGATATTACAATAGAGGAAGATAAAGTTTAATATAGAAATGAACTTAATTCTAAATATAATCAGAATAAGTGAGGATTCCACAGAGGAAGTTGTTCTTGGTGGTAGTTCACTGGTGTATGGAAAATTACTAAGAATAGACATCAATTCTAGGGGGATTTTTGCTTAAGGCATGCCAGCATGATCAATATCAGCTGGGAGATGGAGAAAGATGAGGAAATTTGACAAGATATCAGATAATAAAAGAGGAAAATTGTTGCTAAACTGACTTAGCAAGATTCTTGCTAAAACTGGGCTTGATAAGAAGTATACAGATTGGTTTTTTCATCAGTGGTTAGCCACAAAGTACAGTAGTTAAAAAGCATAAATGCAAAGTCAGACCAGACCTTGGAGTGAGTCTTGGGCATGTTATTTAATCTGTCCAGTTTTGTTTCCTAGAATGTGGGTAATTAATATTATCTTCCTTATTAGATTATTATGTGGATGAAAGTATATATATCAAGAGCTACATAAATAATATTTATAAATTACAGGACAGATAGTAGAATTCTTATATATCTGAAGCGCTGTCGTATATGCTGTTATGGTACATCTGTTCTACTCGCTTGAATTTCCTGCAGTCACCTTGCAGACTCTGTAGCTGCCCATTCTGATCTCTGTGTCTTTCCTTACCCACTTTATAGAGGAAGACATAATAGAACATTCTGATTATTGGTTATTTTCCTTATATAAAGTGCAGAAAATCTAGCAACTAAGGGTTTAAAATAATCTGCAGACTGAAAAATAAATCTTACTGTTTTCATGTTAAACTCTTCCTGGGGTGAGTATTAAAGAAGAATTAGGTTTGCATTAGTTGAGCTTTGCAGGATGCCCCGATAATGCCCCAGCAATCAAAATGAATTATAAGGCGAGAGGTTTGTCGCATGGAGGGTAACACTGCTTATTAAGCAAATCGCCCCGCGGCTAGAGCCTGCAAGGCGCGCTGGGATAGAGACGCAGGGTTACAGCGCTGCAGTTTCTGCCAGACGCGCAAGCACCGCACTCAGGGCTGAATTCTGGGTTCGAGACGGGGAAGGAAGCGGTCCATCTCGGTTCTCCACACTGGTCAGACCACAGAGGAGGCCAGCAGCCACCAGGTTGGTAAACTGACGTCACCACACCTGTTTTTGACTGACCGCAGCTCATTCAGCCATAGAACAGGTAATTTCAGGCTGCAATTCACCTGCGGCTTGCAGACAGATTGCTAGGGTTCAGCGCCTGGGGGCTTCTTAAAATCTGATCTTATCGGAGTGAACACGGAGCGCGGGGCGGCCAAGTTCCGGCTCCCGGAACCGTCCCGGAACCGCCCTGGCTCCGGGCTGCGGAGCCTGCGGAGGCTGCTTCTTGGACCCTGCTAATATCAGAGCAAACACGAAGCACCAAGAAGCCGAATTCCAGCTCCCGGAACTGAGCCCGCGGGGACTGCTTCTTGGAGCTTACACTTATAGGAGCTTACACCGAGCACAGAGCGGCCGAGTTCCGGCTCCCGGAACCGTCCCGGAACCGCCCTGGCTCAGGGCTGCGGAGCCCGCGGAGGCTGCTTCTTGGACCCTGCTACTATCAGAGCATACACCAAGCACTAAGCGGCCGAATTCCGGCTCCCGGAACTGAGCCCGCGGGGGCTGCTTCTTGGAGCTTACACTTATAGGAGCTTACACCGAGCACGGCGCGGCCGAGTTCCGGCTCCCGGAACTTCCCTGGACCGGGGCTAGGAGCCCGCGGAAACTGTGTCTCGGTCCGGGTCCTGCTGAGGGCAGGTCAGGACTCACCCATTGCTTGGGTTGCCTGGCAAGGGGAACGAAATGCTGCCATTCGCATAGGATACCAACATGGCAGAGATCTGATGTCAGCAGAAAGCGGTGGAGGAGAGATCTTCATCAATACCAGCGGTGACATAAGCAGTTGGTCTCCTGGTAAGGGGGGTGAGGCGCAGTCACCCGAGTCTCCTCAATTTGTCCTCGAGCCAGAGGGAAGGAGCCGGGCCGCCGCCAGCCCCCGGAGCAGGCCCAGCGGCTCGCCAGCGTGGTGACCGCGTGACCCCAATTGGAGAGGGGGCGGAGCGGAGCCGCCACCCACACCCGCCAGGTGGGCAGACCCACGACCCAGTAGTACATGGGCATGGTAGGAGGGGCAGGGCAGAGCCGCCCTTCGCGCTTGCAAGGTAAACAGACCTGTGACAGCCTGGCGGGTCAGGCCCAGTGGCCTGCCAGTGTGGTACACACGTCACCCCAACTCGAGTAGGGGCAGAGCAGATCCTTATCCCACGCCCGGATCAGGCCCTGCCGGTGTGGTGGTCACGTGACCCCAACTGGAGTGGGGGTGGAGCGGAACCGCCACCCGTGCCCGCAGGGTGAGCAGACCAGTGATCAACCTGCAGATCAGGCCCAGGGGTCCGCAGGCGTGGTAGGAGGGGCAGGGCAGATCCGCCGCCCGCGCCTTCAAGGTAGGCAGACCTACAACAGACCGGCGGATCAGGCCCAGGAGCCTGCCGGCGGGGTACAAACACCACCCTAATTGGAGTAGTGACAGAGCAGAGTCGCCTCCCTTGCCAGGAACAGACCCAGCATCCTGCAGGCGGGGTAGTCACGACACCCCAATTGGAGTAGGGGCAAAGCAGAGCCTCCACCCGTGCCCGAAAGGTGGGCAGATCTGCGACCGACCAGCGGGACAGGCCCAGTGGCCTGCTGGTACGACAGACACGTCACCCCAATTGGAGTAGGGGCAGAACAGAGCCGCCACCAGCTCCCAGAACAGGCCCAGTGACCTGCCGGCGTGGTAGCCACGACACCCCAATTGGAATAAGGAGAGAGCAGAGCCGCCGCCCGCACCTGCAGGAAAGATACGCAAGCAGTATGAAAAGACAAGGAAAGAAAGGACCACAAGCAATGCAGGTCAACGCAACTTTAGAAGAGGTAACAGCTGCAGCAGATGGAATGTCAGATAAAGAATTCAGGATATACATGCTTCAGATGATCTGGAGTATCAAGGAAGACATTAAACAGCAAAATCAGACAATGAAAGATCACTTCGACAACGAATTACGCAAACAAATCCAGGAAGCAAAGGATCAACTATACAGGGAGATAGAGGTTATAAAAAACAAGCAATCAGAAATCCTAGAAATGCAGGAAGCAATAAACCAACTTAAAAACTCAATGGAGAATACTACCAACAGAGTAGAACACTTAGAAGATAGAACATCAGACAATGAAGACAAAGTATTTCAACTGGAAAAGAACATAGACAGCTCAGCAAGACTGTTAAGAAACCATGAGCAGAACATCCAAGAAATATGGGATAACATTAAGAGACCAAACTTAAGAGTCATTGGGATACAGGAAGGTACAGAGCTCCAAACCAAAGGAATGAGCAGTCTATTCAATGAAATAATACAAGAAAACTTCCCAGACTTGAAGAATGAGACAGAATCCCAAATCCTAGAAGCCTACAGGACGCCGAATGTGCAAAATCATAAGAGATCCACACCTAGACACATTATAATGAAGATGCCCAACATACAGAATAAGGAGAGAATTTTAAAAGCTACAAGAGAAAGGAAGCAGATTACATTTAGGGGCAATCAGGATAACAGCTGATCTTTCAACACAGACTCTGAAAGCTAGAAGATCCTGGAATAACATATTTCAAACACTGAAAGATAATGGGTTCCAACCAAGAATTGTGTATCCAGCGAAATTAAGCTTCAGGATGGAGAATGAAATTAAAACCTTCCACGATAAACAAAAGTTTAAAGAATTCGCAGCTAGAAAACCATCTCTTCAAAACATCCTAGCCAAAGTATTACAGGAAGAGGAAATGGAAAATAACAATGAAAACCAACAGTGGGAGGTAGGACAGTAAAGGGGGGGGGGAAACAATCAAAGAGGAAAACAAACAATGTTTAGTAACAGAAATAAACAAATATGGCTGGAAGAACAACCCATATCTCAATAATAACCCTAAATGTTAATGGCTTAAACTCACCAATTAAGAGACACAGGCTAGTAGAATGGATCACAAAACAAGACCCAACAATATGCTGCCTACAGGAGACGCATTTGATAGGAAAAGACATACATAGGCTGAAGGTGAAAGGTTGGGAAAAATCATATCACTCATATGGACTTCGGAAACAAGCAGGAGTGTCCATACTCATATCAAATAAAATAGATTTCAAGCCAAAGTTAATCAAAAGAGATAAAGAGGGACACTACATACTGCTTAAGGGAACCATACACCAACAAGACATAACAATCATAAATATTTATGCCCCAAACAATGGTGCAGCTATGTTCGTCAAACAAACTCTTCTCAAGTTCAAGAGTCTAATAGACCACCACACCATAATCATGGGAGACTTCAACACACCTCTCTCACCACTGGACAGATCTTCCAAACAAAAGTTGAATAAGGAAACTATAGAACTCAATAACACTATTAATAACCTAGACCTAATCGACATATATAGAGTATACCACCCAACATCAAGCAGTTACACTTTTTTCTCAGCAGCACATGGATCCTTCTCAAAAATAGATCATATATTATGTCACAGGGCAACTCTTAGACAATATAAAGGAGTAGAGATATTTCCATGCATCTTATCTGATCATAATGGAATGAAACTGAAAATCAACGATAAAAGAAGGAAGGAAAAAGCATACATCAATTGGAGAATGAACAATAGGTTACTGAATGATCAATGGGTTATAGAAGACATCAAGGAGGAAATTAAAAAATTCTTAGAGATAAATGAAAACACAGACACAACATATCGGAATCTATGGGACACATTGAAAGCAGTTCTACGAGGAAAATTCATTGCTTGGAGTTCATTCCTTAAAAAAAGAAAAAACCAACAAATAAATGATCTCATACTTCATCTCAAAATCCTTGAAAAAGAAGAGCAAAACAACAGCAAAAGAAGTAGAAGGCAAGAAATAATTAAAATCAGAGCTGAAATTAATGAAATCGAAACAAAAGAAACAATTGAAATAATTGACAAAACTAAAAGTTGGTTGTTTGAAAAAATAAACAAAATCAACAGACCCTTAGCGATGCTAGTGAAGAGAAGAAGAGAGAGAACTCAAATTACTAGCATACGGGATGAAAAAGGCAATATCACAACAGACACTTCAGAAATACAGAAGATAATCAAAAACTATTTTGAATCCTTATACTCCAATAAATTAGAAGATAGTGAAGGCATAGATAAATTTCTTAAGTCATATGATCTGCCCAGATTGAGTCAGGAGGATATAGAAAACCTAAACAGACCAATATCAATTGAGGAGATAGAAGAAACCATAAAAAGACTACCAACTAAGAAAAGCCCAGGTCCCGATGGGTATACAGCAGAATTTTACAAAACCTTTAAAGAAGAACTAATACCAATACTTTTCAAGCTACTTCAGGAAATAGAAAAGGAGGGAGAACTTCCAAATTCATTCTATGAGGCCAACATCACCCTGATACCTAAACCAGACAAAGACACTTCAAAGAAAGAAAACTACAGACCAATAACTCTAATGAACCTAGATGCAAAAATCCTCAATAAAATTCTGGCGAATCGGATACAAAAACATATAAAAAAAATTGTACACCATGATCAAGTAGGATTCATCCCTGGGATGCAAGGCTGGTTCAATATACGGAAATCAATAAATGTTATTCACCACATCAATAGACTTAAAAATAAGAACCATATGATCATCTCGATAGATGCGGAAAAAGCATTTGACAAAGTACAGCATCCCTTTATGTTCAAAACTCTAGAAAAACTAGGGATAACAGGAACATACCTCAATATTGTAAAAGCAATCTATGCTAAGCCTCAGGCTAGCATTATTCTGAATGGAGAAAAACTGAAGGCATTCCCTCTAAAATCTGGAACAAGACAGGGATGCCCTCTCTCTCCACTTCTCTTCAACATAGTTCTCGAAACACTGGCCAGAGCAATTAGACAGACGAAAGAAATTAAAGGCATAAAAATAGGAAAAGAAGAAATTAAATTATCACTATTTGCAGATGACATGATTCTATATCTAGCAGACCCAAAAGGCTCTACAAAGAAACTATTAGAGCTAATAAATGAATTCAGCAAAGTGGCAGGATTTAAAATCAACACGCATAAATCAAAGGCATTCCTGTATATCAGCGACAAATCCTCTGAAATGGAAATGAGGACAACCACTCCATTCAAAATATCTTCAAAAAAAATAAAATACTTGGGAATCAACCTAACAAAAGAGGTGAAAGACTTATACAATGAAAACTACAGAACCCTAAAGAGAGAAATAGAAGAAGATCTTAGAAGATGGAAAAATATACCCTGTTCATGGATAGGCAGAACTAACATCATCAAAATGGCGATATTACCAAAAGTTCTCTATAGGTTTAATGCAATGCCAATCAAAATCCCAATGGCATTTCTTGTAGAAATAGAGAAAGCAATCATGAAATTCATATGGAAAAATAAAAGACCCAGAATAGCAAAAACAATGCTAAGCAAGAAGTGTGAATCAGGCGGTATAGCGATACCAGACTTCAAACTATACTACAGAGCAATAGTAACAAAAACAGCATGGTACTGGTACCAAAACAGGCGGGTGGACCAATGGTACAGAATAGAGGACACAGAAACCAATCCACAAAACTACAACTATCTTATATTTGATAAAGGGGCTAAAAGCATGCAATGGAGGAAGGATAGCATCTTCAACAAATGGTGCTGGGAAAACTGGAAATCCATATGCAACAAAATGAAACTGAATCCCTTTCTCTCGCCATGCACAAAAGTGAATTCAAAATGGATCAAGGAACTTGATATCAAATCAGAGACGCGCCGTCTGATAGAAGAAAAAGTTGGCTACGATCTACAGTCGGTGGGGTCGGGCTCCAAATTCCTCAATAGGACACCCATAGCACAAAAGTTAATAACTAGAATCAACAAATGGGACTTACTCAAACTAAGAAGTTTTTTCTCAGCAAAAGAAACAATAAGAGAGGTAAATAGGGAGCCTACATCCTGGGAACAAATCTTTACTCCTCACACTTCAGATAGAGCCCTAATATCCAGAGTATACAAAGAACTCAAAAAATTAGACAATAAGAGAACAAACAACCCAATCAACAAATGGGCCAAGGACCTGAACAGACACTTCACAGAGGAGGACATACAGTCAATCAACAAGTACATGAAAAAATGCTCAACATCTCTAGCTGTCAGAGAAATGCAAATCAAAACCACCCTAAGATACCATCTCACTCCAGTAAGATTGGCAGCCATTAGGAAGTCAAACAACAACAAGTGCTGGCGAGGATGTGGGGAAAAGGGTACACTTGTACATTGCTGGTGGGACTGCAGATTGGTGCAGCCAATTTGGAAAGCAGTATGGAGATTTCTTGGAAAGCTGGGAATGGAGCCACCATTTGACCCAGCTATTCCCCTTCTTGGTCTATTCCCTA